CAAAACAATCATGCTAAAATCATATGCAATAACCCTCTCCCCACACACACACGAGCGCAGGAGTGTAAATAAATAGATATACTGTATGTCAGAACGGTACAGTTATCATCCCCGCCTGCACCGCACCGCACCACACCAGCGTGCCCTTGTGTGGTCGGGACGGGATGGTGGTCGGGAGGTTGACATTTTGATAATTAATTATACTAATTCATACGAGGTCACTTAATAATTAGAATTTTAACCTTTTGACCAGAGATCCTTAACTATATGAGGGGAGTTTTGTGACCAGCTATAAACCACAACTTGGCACTGTACTGTACACGACAGGAGAGTTACGGTAGGTGTTACTGACGATCACAACAGGAGAGAAATCCCACCTTAATTAATTCAATGTAGGGTCTAAATACAGTAGATAAAATTAATGACAGGCGGCTAAAAATAAAGCAATGTATCATATGCTGGGGCTAAAAATAGATTCGTCCAAAGTCATGAAATATAGTCGTAATAATGTAATATATTTCGTCATTAACAACATGATTTATAATAGGGCAAATTTATATATAGAACATAACAAAAATCATACAGAACATAGGCTGTAAAAATAGTGCAAGTAAAGTGTAAATAAAGCCTAACTATAGTGTAAACATGGAGCCTAGTAACACGGTAAAAATACTATCACTAAAACACACAATATTTAACAACGGGAACTCACAACATGAAAAATAAATAAATAAATTCAACTTATCAATATGTACAGTGCGCTAAATAAGGGTTGTGTCCTGTGCCAAAACTCGTAAAAATCCCCGATACAAACTGCAGTGGGAGGTCGCGTTTACAAGATTGCAGCCACTTTTACCCTAAATAGGTTAAAAGCATTTATAAACTTGTCAGCCAATCAAAGGCGAGTACGTCACAGCCCAAAAATAAACGAAGCTATTTCAGCATTATAAGAACATAAGAATGGAGGAAACTGCAGCGGGCCTATTGGCCCATACTGGGCAGTCCCAGCTACACCCAACCCCTATCGCTCATATATCCATCCAACCTACTTTCCAAGCTATCCAGCGTATTCGAGTTAATGATGATGTTTGTTAACTTGTTCAATTCATCCTCTATTCTATTTCCAAACCAATGTTTACATATTTCGCGCCAAAATCTAAATTTGTCTAATTTAAAACCATTGTTACGAGTTCGCTCTGGTTGGATAGTTTGAGTACCTTTGTAATGTCCCCTTTGCTTAGCCCTGACTTCCATTTATACACCTCTATCAAATCGCCCCTCACTCTACATCTCTCGAGGGAGTGCAAATTAAGATGCTTTAACCAATCTAAGTACTCAAGGTTCCTAATGCCCGGGATTAGTCATTCTCCTCTGAATTCTTTCTGTGGATTCGATATCCATTCTGTAATACGGTGACCGGAACTGAACTGCGTAATCCAAGTGAGGTCTCACAAGCGCAAGATATAGTTTTAGGATGACCTCTCTAGTCTCCTTTGTATAAACCCAAGTACTTTATTAGCCTTGTTTCGAGCAAATACACATTGTTTACATGGCTTAAGATTCCCACTATCATTACTCCTAAATCTTTCTCACATTCGGATTTCTCTATGATAATGTTGTTCATCTGACATTTGGTTTCTCTGTTTACATCTCCTAGACTAAGTACTTTACATTTGTCCACACTGAATTTCATCTGCCATTTTTCAGACCATTCGAAAAATTTGTTTAGATCTTCCCGTAGTTTTGCAGAGTCCTCGTCAGATTTAATTACACGCCCTATTTTAGTGTCATCGGCAAATTTACTTATGTTGCTGTCTACACCGATATCTATGTCGTTTATGAATATAATAAATAATAATAGTCTAAGCACTGATCCTTGGGGTACTCCACTAGTGAAGTTACTCCAATCTGATTTAGTGCCGTTAATGCTCACTCGGTTTCCTATCCTGTAACCACGCACTAATGCATTTTAGAATATCTCCTCCAATGCCACGAGTCTACACTTTTCTTTTTAGTCTTTCGTGTGGGACTCTGATGTGGTATATCTTGACTTTAGCAAAGCCTTCGACAGAGTCGTGCCTCTCGTCCACTGATTCGAAAACAGCTGAAAAGAATGTTAATAGATTTTTTAGACATGAAGACCCGCTTGTGAAGCCATGTTGGGAATCATTGATCAACTTGTGCTCATCCAGGTAATATGATGCATATTATTTTCCTTCTTTTGCAACTAATTAATTATACACACACACACACACTTTGATGGTGTATAATAAATCATACAGCCTCATTATAAACACTAGACGATATACAACTAAAGTAATACAACTATCAAAAGAAAACAAATTAACAATTAGCTGAAAACACACACACACACACAACTGTATATTTTCAGCCTTCTGGCTGCCAAGCTCTTTCAATAAACCGTTAATTATTATTACACACACACACACACACACACACTTGAGTGGTCAGAGGGGGACATTTCCGCCAGTGGTGGGTGAGTGAGTCAGTCCAACCCAGCACTAATATGGGGGTCCTGGGGCCTCGTGTGAACACTGGTACTGACCTCTGCTTAACCCACCAAGTTCAGACGCGGGTAAAAAGTGTCTGTGTGTTGCCAAGGCTTATCTGTGTAATTATTTTATTTGTCCTAACTCATTTTATCTGATTTTTGTATATGGTTTTATTATTATTATTAAAGGGTTCGAACCACGCTAATGAACACTTGCTTAAAATCAACTTCTTAACTTTAACGATATCAAATTACCAGACATCAGAATATTTAAACATTAATACATAACCAATGAAGGGAGTAGTGAATGGGGAAGACATGGCTAAAGTGAGGAGGAAGTGAAGAGTGTGATGTGGGAAGAAATAAAAAAGAGGGAGGGAGGAAGTGAAGGTTTAAACACAGCTGATCCGACAAGAGTTCACTAACTAGGTCTTCCGGTCTCATTAAATCTCCACAAACGCATCCTAACTCACTGTCATGACCGCCCATACTAAACACCGCGATTAACCAGTGTGTTAAACCATCGCAACTCTGACACTTCAGGGCCACGCTTACAAAATAATAACACTTAAGAATTAATCCCACCTGCTAGCGACAAACCGGTGTCAGATATGGATCTCAACAACGGCGATTATTGGTTACGATTGGAAATAAACAAGACATTTCAAGATCAGTTTCTTTACTTACTTGTTTATCTATAAAGTAAATAATGATTGAATAAAGATATATGATAATAATTACTTGAAACAACTTATTTGTTTAGTTTGGAGTAAGTAAATACATCAGTATTCTATCCATATACAAGCTAGTTTGCATATAGTTAATCTGCACTAAAGTATTGACTACCAGAGTGAGGTGACAGCGATTTGGCGGTACCTGGCATTGGTTGACTGGGTGAAGTACTGTGGGACATTTGTGGTGATGTGTGATACTGTGGGATATGGTAGTATGGCGGCACTGAGGGACATGGTAGTGTGTGGCACTGTGGACCATGGTAGTGTGTGGCACTGTGGGCCATGGTAGTGTGTGGCACTGTGGGCCATGGTAGTATGGCGGCACTGACTGGGGACATGGGTAGTGTGTGGCACTATGAGGGCCATGGTATGTGTGGCACTGTGGGGCATGGTGTGTGGGCACCCATGGTAGTGTGTGGCACTGTGGGCCATGGTAGTGTGTGGCACTGTGGGCCATGGTGAGTGTGTGCACTGTGGGGCATGGTAGTGTGTGGCACTGTGGGGCATGGTGTGTGTGGCACTGTGGGGCATGGTAGTGTGGCACTGTGGGCCATGGTAGTGTGTGACACTGTGGGGCATGGTAGTGTGTGGCACTGTGGGGCATGGTGTGTGTGGCACTGTGGGCTATGGCAGTGTGTGGCACTGTGGGGCATGGTAGTGTGTGGCACTGTGGGCATGGTAGTGTGGCACTGTGGGCTATGGCAGTGTGGCACTGTGGGGCATGGTAGTGTGTGGTGGCACTGTGGGCTATGGCAGTGTGTGGCACTGTGGGGCATGGTGGTGTGTGGCACTGTGGGGCATGGTAGTGTGTGGCACTGTGGGGCATGGTAGTGTGTGGCACTGTGGGGGTGGTGTGTGACCATGGTAGTGGCATGGTAGTGTGTGACACTGTGGGGCATGGTAGTGTGTGGCACTGTGGGGCATGGTGGTGTGTGGCACTGTGGGCTATGGCAGTGTGGCGGCACTGAGTCATGGCAGTGTGGCGGCACTGGGGTATGGCAGTGTGGCACTGTGTTAGTGTGTGTGGCACCTGTGGGCTATGGCAGTGTGGCGGCACTGAGTCATGGCAGTGTGTGGCACTGGGGTATGGCAGTGTGGCATTTCGGGGCATCTTAGTGTGTGGCATTGCTGAGCAAATTAGCGTGTGGCACAGTAGCGTGGGGCAAGTGTGGCCCTGTGGGGCCACAGTACTGGGACAAACTCTTAAGAGGTTGGTTGATGAGAAGGATTGGGGCAGGTTGAGCAGGGTAAGGCAGGTTAAGGCAGGTTTGGGTGCAGGGGGGGGGAGGGAGAGAGGGCAGGAGGGAGGGGAGGGAGAGAGGGCAGGGAGGGAGGGAGAGAGGGGGCAGGAGGGAGGGAGGGAGAGAGGGAGGGAGGGAGTGGGCGGTGTGGTGGAAGTCGACCAACTATGTGGCTCTGCGCGTTCTCATATGCTCGTGTGCCCCGCCGTTGATGGCATTTAATTTTAGCGTTTAAATATCTCCCTGCAGTCTACACACACTCGCTGCCACTGAACTCACAACATGTTGTACATTTTCTTCACGAGGCACTCACTGTGACCAGTGCCACGGAGGTAACACCCAAAACACGATTAAACTGTGTGTTTAAAATATAATTTCATGTTTCTCAAATCCTACCAGCCAGGCTACCCAGAAATCGCATGTCCTTCCCCCTAGGAGAAACCAATACGGGTTATGTGTTCGTTCTAGTGTTATGACGATTGTAAATTTATGTAATGGGTGTGCAGTACTCACCAATTACTGTCAGCAGTACCGAGTGCACTGACATTTCCCGTAGAAAGTGAGAAAAACCACGCCTACACCCGAACGGCCACAGAACGTCTATACTCCACGAGAGCGTTCCCTCCACTGACGGTCTACACTCGACATGCTGGAGCCATGAGCCTCGCCACCACTCGTTCCCTCCGCCGACCAAAGTAGTCCTCCTTATTTTATTGCATTAGTTACCTTTTCTCGTTGAGATAACTGAAATAAACATTATTATTATAATATTTATTCTAGATATAATTTTATCTATAAAACTGATATGATATACATGGAATTTACGTAAAACAAGTGCTTTCAATTCCCATATATTTTCGCTGAAATATATAGTGTAAACAGACCAGAGCCTCATTTAAATGGCCCCCCAAAAACACCAACTTAACTTTCCACTTCACAGTTCATATACAGGTAGAACTTATGCACCTGTATGGATGTGAAGTGGCTCTATAATTGCCTGCCAAGGTTTTTATTAAAGCGAGGAGGTCCTGAATACCTCGACGTACAATATTGGCTGTACTGCATCACCAATAACTATCACCAGTTAATGTAAATTATTTGAATTAATTCACTTGGAAGAACAAGCTGTGTGGCATAAACCACGTAAATGTCTTTGTTTTAACACATCTACATATTGTATTTTTATGTATACGCGAATACCGTACACTTAACCAAGGTCAAAATATTACTCTCAAAGGCAGTTCCATTCAATCAACACACACACCCTCACCTGTGTACGCATACCCAGACATACACACTTACAAACACATAAATACCTTCCTACATACTCTGATATATTAGCATGCATCTCAACACACACACACACACACACACACACACACACACACACACACACACAATAATTACAAATATCATTTAGCGACAAAATTATGATGCCACAGCTCCAACTCTACTACTACTACTACTACTACTACTACTACTACTACTACTACTACTACTAACAATAACAATAACAACAACAACAACAATAACAACAACAACAACAACAACAACAACAACAACAACAACAACAACAACAACAACAACAACAATAATAATAATAATAATAATAATAATAATAATAATAATAATAATAATAATAATAATAATGATTTGATGGTTAGGATGAATTAGCTTCAGTCTGATAATTAAACACCCTAATGATACCTGGGAGATTAGGTTAGGTTAAGTTAATTTAGGTTAGGTAAAGTTAGATTAGGCTAGGTTTAGTTAAGTAAGGTTAGGTTAGGTTAAGTTAGGTTAGCTTAAGTTACAAAGTTTAATTAATCGTGAGGTGAAATAAGCTTCGAGGCTGGGAGGGGACGGGGGTACGTGGCCTCTGCTGCGTCAATTACAGCATCGGGAGGGAACACTATCACAGAAACACTCACTCAGGATGGCGGGGGATTATGAAGGCTTATCGTACTGGCTCACACAAGCGACTACTCTTACCATTTTAACCTGACTTGTGTTAAATAAAGCTCAGACTAAACTAACAATCCATTTAACCTAACCTAATCTAACCTGACAACCTCGCCTAACTTAACTCATCTAACCTGATCTAATTTAACCTAATTGAACCAATATGACTTAACCTGATCTAACCCACCTAAATTAACCTACCCTAAGCTAAATCAACCCACAGTCATCTTACTTCAACACCAGACATTAACTTTCAGAAACTTCATCTGATACGAATATGTCAGTCAGGTTTGTTGTTCATGTGTGTGTGTGTGTGTGGTTTGTTCATTAAAAAGCTGTGTATGTGTGTGTGTATTATACCTGAACTGCCCATGTACATTGTATAACTCCACTGTCTATGTCAATGCAAATATGATTTATTTTTCTGCCTCGGTCTCTGTTTTTCTGTGTGGTTGTGGACATGTGGTGAGGGAGGAGCAGCCTAGGAGGGGAACCTAGTGACGTGTCCGCCTCAGTCAGCTCCCGCGGTGTTACTGGCGGTAAGGCTCCTTTCATCTCTCACCAGGTGCCGACTCCATCGTTTTAGCGCCTCAAAAAAGTGCAAGCTTATCTGAGGATGATGCCACATGTTAGTTAACGAGGTCACCTGCCCACTATAGACAGGGGGAACACAGCCAGGTTCCATTGATTTTAAATTCCTGACAGAATCCTGGTATGTTGTTGATGGTTGAATTGATATCCGGAGGAGCAACCGCCACCACGCTCTTGGTCGAACACTTAACTTTACACCATCTTAAATATTGCCTAACTTTAACCCTTTGTAGCTGCTGATATTCCTTTGTTTTCGTGTGAGCCTTGGGTTACGACTCTCAAGGATTCGTAAGTTATTTTTTTTATCTAATAACTGGATGAGAACATAATAGCTAGATACAATTTTGACAAGATTTGGCCACGATCTCTATGTGATACTTTTGCTTCAGAACAGACTGGAGGCAAGAAAATATGAATATATATATATACAATAAGGAAAATTAGATACTCAGGTCGTACGTGTACAAAGTTTTCCTTCAAACTGAAGACGTGAGAATATTATGCAGTTGTCTCACGTCAGCTGCAACACAACGACTGTGACCAAAATGATGTCAAGATTATACAAGGAATTGGATCTTGTACAGATTAAGAACCCCAATTTATTTCATCTGATAATTGAACACCCTAATGCTAACGTAAATGTATCGTAACCGTGTCTTTTATCTTCATGTGGGGAGAAAACGTTAACGTACAAATCTCTTGAGAATCTGGAGGAAAAATAGCATAGTTACCCAGACGAGAAAACGGAGACTATTTAGGATCACCCAAATATTCGTCTCGGTAATAACCTCCGCCCTGTTGCCCACCACCACCACTCGAATGTTGGGGCCAGTTCTGGGGTCCACTCGGGGCACAATACCATTTTGGGAGTCTGGGTGTGTCTCTAAGCCCCAGAATTAGCGTTATGCCTATTGTCTCCAAGGTTTAAAGTTGGCAGGATATTATATCTTGGCTCTGGACACAAGTCAGTTGCTTTTTTTTTAAGAAATATCGACGGAGGGCATTTTCAATACCATCAATCAATCCCAGAATATATATCTCACTTCAATCTTCCTTTGTAATGTCCGAAAAATAAACATTGAACCAATTATAAACTCGTATGGAAGCTTTACTGAATATCTATCTATCTGGCGTGTACAGTGTGGTAGGTTTGCACTGTGGCTGCTTCGTCTGGTGAAGGATCAGTCAGATCTCTTAATTAGCAGTAACATACGCGCTACTGCCCACATTCCTGACAATAACACAATAGTGCATGATGATGATGAGAGAAAGAGCGAGCAGGGTATAATATCAAGTACTACTAAATTAAAGTTACAACGTCAACTTCATCACCAACTTTTGTACCTGACGCCATAAGTACCAAGGGCAGTCAAGACCAGGCGTAGTCACAGTACTGTACATAAAGTAACAGCTCCCGGCACACGTCACAGCACCCACCTTCCCTTCTCTAAACAATGTCAAGTACCCATTCACAGTTGGTTTGGCTAGAGGCGTGTACAGAGTCATCTCTATGAGTTGGTTTATATAATTATGAATTACTGTACAACATTTTGAGGGATTACTGATCTGAAGCTTTTTACAGTAATGATATGATATAATATATATATACAGTATATATATATATATATATATATATATATATATATATATATATATATATATATATATATATATATATATATATATATATATATATATATATATATATAACTTTATAATGAACAAATTGTAAACTTGTACATATAACAATTGTATGAATAAATATGTCTCGATGGTTTTAAAACAAATCTTTTATATATGGAAGTTTAATACTGTATCAATATAAACATTCTATCACACAATTAATTTCAATACATACACATAAATTTATTCAAATGGAATGAACGTCATCCAGATGTGTATTGCTTAAGTGAAACTCCACAGTGAAGAAGAGTACAGTCCATGTTATGCCTCATCAAAGTGTTCATCCTAAATAACGTGACACATAGAGAAACCTCCATATAATGGGCTTCTCTATATAATCTGTGAGATGGGAATTTCACACTCTAATGGAACCTTGAGATAATGGACTTTCCTCTCCATGTAGTCAGTTAAATCAAGGCTTCACTGTAAAACATAACAATTCGTGCTTTACTCAATAAAATTTGTGTCATTACAAAAATTGTACCTTACTGGCAGTAGTACTTGGTTTAGTTTCTCAGTGATTTAGATATGCATCTAACTATAAAAAGAAAACATTAATAATTCTGGACGATTCCTCCTAAAACTATAATATTGTTAAAGCCATGCATAAAAAAAGGTATATATAAATTTCCACTTTTTTGTTATTCACACTGCTGTGGGCAGGACAAATAACATGATCGGGCAGAATAAGAGGACTGAATTTCCAAGGATAATGCATACAGTAGACATGATCTATCCACCAACTCCAAATACAATACATTACTGTATATCTACAATCTTGCCCAACTTGGGTGAAAAATAAATAATTCAGCACTGTATCAATAAGAAACAAACAATAGTCCATATGCTCTGGTCATTATTTTCAGACTGAATGTTAGCTATTTTCTGCCAATGGACAGGGGGATGTTTTTACTGCACTGTGCTATCACTGAACAGGGTAGCTACACTTCTTGCCCAAGGACCAAAAACAGTTAAGTTATAAACAAACATATACAACTGGTTAAAAAACTGGTGGTGAGAGATTCTTAAACGTCTCTGGTATCTGATGGTTGTTAAGTCATTCCTCTGGTAAAGACTGAAGCAGCTCCTGGGAACACTATTGTAGAAGGTACTGTATACAAAAATAAGGACAACTATTACCACAAGCGCAACTCAGAGATCCTTGGAGCATCACAAGGTAGTGATAACAATTACCATTTTACAGTACAAAAATCTATGTATGATATCGAATGACACAAACGACCATATTAAAAAATTCTAAAATCACAAAAATGCACAAGAGTGAATACAGACTACAAGTGTTATTACCTGGCATGATAAGTGTTATGCTGAAACAATGATAAAATCATCAATAATATCACAGTGAGTAGCAGGAAGAAAAGAATCATGCTAATATGCTTCACTACAAAATGCCTGAAAGACTACATGTACTGTAGTAACAAATGAAGAGAGAATGTTAAATTGAAATAAAGTTGAATAAAATCATGTAAAAATGAATACAGTACCCCACACTTCTCCAGTTTCTGCAAATTTTTTAACAAATTTATTTTCCCCACACCACTCGGCCATTACTGCTTCCTCCTCCTTATGACGATACACTATTCCTGTTTCCTTCAGATACAACTCACATGCAGAAGCAGAACCAAGTAATCAGCTGGGGGGCTAATCTTTAGGTGACCTAAAGGAAAAGACATTATCAACCAGAGGAATTACCATTCAGATAATCTACCTCAACCACCACCCTGATTTGTGGGGCAACTGGCTCCCTCTCCGTTAACTTACTGAAGAGCAAACAAAGCTATGAAATACTGAACCTGTACAAAAACTAAAACAAGAATCCTGATAAACATTTAACTTAATAATAAGAACCACTTTGCTAAAAATGACTAAACCATAAGAACCACTTTGCTAAAAATGACTAAACCATAAGAACCACTTTGCTAAAAACGACTAGGTAAACAAGAACCTGATAATAATGTAAGTGTTGGAGAAACTTTAGCTGCCACAAACACAGTCATCAAAAAAGTAAAAATAAAAGAATGCCTAAATTTTAAATGCTTATACTGTACCTGTACATATAATAAAATCTGGACATTCTTTTATGAACTTGTAGAGTAGAGTTTAGAATATATGTATATGTTATGGACCAGTTAGTAAAATGAACTATAAGAGAGAGATCAATAAATGCCCGCAGATACGAGGGAGAGAATGAAAAATATACACACAGGAAAAATAACTCGAGGTAGTAGTGTATATAAAGAATAGTAATAAAACTATTCTGATGAAAATCGATCAAATAAGAGAAATTTAAAAAAAAAATATTATCTACAGGAAATCAAATGCAACCCAAGTCAATCATCCAGAAATAAAACTTAAAAGATTTATAATATATAACTAAGCATTTCACACAGACTTGGACAGTTTCATTATCCCAAACATGCTGAATAATCTTTTTCTAATCTTATTTTATTTACAATCCCATAAATGTATTTACAGATCTTGTAATGTATAAGGGAAATAAACATGAAATATTCATATACTGTACTGTAGCAAAAATAAAATACAAATAATCAATTTCCTCTACCAGTTAGGTTCAAAATGAAACCTTAAAGTTAACACAGACTTAAAAGCCTTAACAATACATGTATTGTCACTTTTACTCTTTGAAGATAAAATTCTTCTTGACAAATGTATAAACTCCATTCAATTATACATAGTACTGCACAGTGTAGGCATACGAAGGTGAAAAAATACTTATAAATTGATTGTCGTGAAGTACCAACGTATCTCTTTTGACGTCTACTCCTGTAAACCAATTATTAAAAAATTATTCTATAAGGGGTGCCATTACCTGTACACTGTAGTAGTTCAATGTAGGGAGTAGTGTACTGTACTGTATTACTGGACCAATAGTCTGTGTTTCAGAAGATACCCATGCTGAACACACATCATCATTGTGTAACTAACCAAAACAATCATGCATAAACATTCATCCCCTTTTCTGTTATACATTCATCACATTACTACCTATCACCATATTGCAACTGTACTTAGGAACAGATTTGTTAAGAAAAGTATAAAACAGGCATTAAGAAATACACAAATCCTGTACAGAATTAGTAGAAACTATTTTGTTCCTACAGGACCTTGAAAAATTCTGTGATCTCACTGCTCTGGGTAAAACGATCTTGTACAAGATGACAATGAGCACTAACAATCCCACATCTATTCCTGCACATCAGGTGTCAAAAGAGTACAGTTAATACAGTAGTTAAAATAAACTGAACAAGAAAAAGCCTGCAGTATAAAATAAAACTAAGAGTAAAATAAATAAAACTGATAATAATACGCAACATAAATTAGAGGCCAAGTCAACACTCACTGTGTGTTAATTTAATTTTCAATGTGTGTCAAGAAAGTGTATACTGTAAAATGTGATCACAGTAAACCATCCAGCATTAAAAGTCATTTCAGAAATTATGGCTACAAAGTATACTGTAACTGGAGGAGCTAACAAGCTTCAACATACAACACACCTTTAAAAAATTAGGTACAAATGTTTTATTTACCACATTTATGGTATACACCGACATCTAAAACAATTTTAAGTAATCTTGTGCACACACAAATTTTCTCTGAGCTTTCTATTCCATCACAAAAATCATAATTGTCAGTTATTGGAGGTCACTGAATATTATATACGGCAATCATCCGTCATTGACGTGCTGAAGTGTGGTGTTGTAAACTAATTTATTCTTTTAACTACAATATATAAATGTAATGTACAGTTATGTAAAAAAGTATCTACCCGAGGGGTACCACAGTGAAGCAACCACAACCATGAGTCTAATTCTACTATTGGACCACTAATTCTAGATTCCACAGACTCGGTCGTGCTGACAACTCGCGAAGATGTCTGTGTCCACGGACTCAGTCATGCTGACAGCTTGCGAGGATGTCTATACAGTATTCCCTGCAATTTGTGCACTTCTTCTTGCATGCTCCAAATGTTATCTTACAATGTGTGTAGAACACAGTGATTAACGGAAAAAAAAATTGCTTGTACTGCATGCAATAGTGCCTCATACAAAATACATAACATTGTATTCAGTAATATATCCTAACTAAGTACTGTACTGTCACCTCAGTGATCTTATTAACATTGAGTTTGCTTCCCCCTGTGTGGCAGTGTAATCCCTGACATGTCTTTATACCCAGCAGGAAACAGCCATTATTCACCAAGATGGAGGCCTTCCTGATACTGGTGTGCCCTACACAACATACACAACTACAGTAAGATAAAACTTTTCATACATGCATGTTTTTTTTTTTACATTCAAAACATTTTTGTCAAGAAACAATACGATTCTTCTTTAGGTAGAATTTACAGAGAAAATATACCATGTAATATCTGTTAAGTGATGTTTGTTAATACAGTAATTGCCCAAATAGTATTATATTGTATTACTAACCACAGACAACAGATGTATTATTGGTACTGGGTGAATGATAATGTTATTTTATGATGAAGCAACACAACACATCCAGTGGATGTTCAGGTTGTACTTATTATGATGCAAAACAGCTGTTCTACCATTATCCCTGGCCGATGGATGAAGGTAGCATGAAGAACAGTAAGATTCCTTGACTGTCCTGATAACTGTGCATTCAGTCATGATACAGTCACTACCTGATGAATTAGAAACAGTCACTTGGAGATGAATTATACACAAATAGTCACTTGCAGATGATCTAAGAACAATGACAAACACATTTTATGAATTCATGGTTCAGATAAATTGACAGATGAAGGTTGAGGCACAGTGTCGGAAGACGGCTGACAAACATTTCTGACCGACTGTTGAGACACACTGTTTATCGTAGGATGAGATACACTATTAGCATACATTTCACACACATTACTTGTTGATGGGTGAGAAATATTTGATTGCTGTAATGGGTGATGTGAAGTGATGATATGTGAATGAGGCTCTTGATCACCAAACTGCTGTGACACACTGACTGGTGATAGTCGTGAATCACTGTTGGATGACTGTTGAGAGTTATTACTGACTGATGGCTGAGATAAATTGCTAGTTGATGATTGGGAGAGATTACTGGTTGAGGGATGACATGTAATATTACTTAATGATTGTGACAAAGTACTGGTTGATGGTTGTGAGAAATTACTGGTTGATGACTGAGAAGCATTACTTGTTGATGATTCCTCTCTCTGATATTCACTTATTTGAGTCTGGTTTCTTGGTGATGATGATGGCTGTTCACCTTTGTTATGGATCAGTTCAACATTCTTACAGTCTTGTTCCTCCTCCTCCACATTGCTTGAACTTTCATTATCCTGGTCATCACTAACTCTGTCTTCGTTATTACTTTGGTTCTGATTCCCAGCCAGTTCCCTTTGTACCTCGGGTTCTTTTGAGTGGAGGAATAGCCTTTTCAAGTCCTCAATAGTTACTGTGTTCTCATCGGTGTGGCGTGCATCGTAGTGGTGACGTAAGATGTGATACATTCTTTCTTCGATCGTTCCTCTCACCAAAAAACGATGGACAATAGTCTCCTTGGTCTGGCCAATGCGGTGAACTCTTCCAATGGCCTGAAGCTCGGCAGCAGGATTGAGAATAGGCTCGACCAAGATGACATGGCGAGCCTCGATAAGGTTGAGTCCGTTTGCACCAGATGATATAGGAAGCAGGAGAGCTGTGATCTGGCTATTGGCCTTGAAAGATGCAAGATGTCTCTGTGGACCAGAGACAGATTAGATAAGGACAAAATCATTATCCCTCCAACTCATATGAAATAAGTGAGAAGTGAATGATACTGCAAGCATTTAAAGATAGTTCATCATACAGTTCACACAAAACTCTTTAGTTCACTCAAGTTTATGAGTCCAGTGTCAGGAAAAAATAAACAAAGAAAATACCGTCATCACAAAGTATGACTAATGTATGACAAAGAAAACTGTCGGATGTCACTGACGAATAAAAATGTAGGAATGAGATAAATAACGAGCGATAGATAATACAACACCACCACCAACCTGAAACTTTGAGTGCTGGTGAAGAGCTCTATATGTTATACCGTTCTGGGCAAAGGCATCGGCTATGACATTGAGAACGTCCACCCAAGACGAAAACACTAGGACTTTGGCACCAGGATCAGCGAGTTTGATCTTCAACATGAGACGAACTACTCCCTCCATTTTGGTAGATAAACTCCCTTGTACCTGTCAAAGGCAACACGGTATAAAGCTTCAATAGTTTATTAAATTTCACAAATAATAATTGTAAGTAACCATAAAATATTTTTGGGGCCACCTTAATAATCTCCACCCCAGTTCATGTCACAAAGATTATCCACCCTAGAACTATTTGGGAAGATGTGGTTAGGTTAGCATTAGTGTTTAGGTGAATTAAGCTAGGGTGGAGAATGTTCAGGTGACCCCCTCCCCTTTTACCGAAATTTAATTTTGGATAAATCTCTTTGGCCGTACATTATATAATAACTGAATATTTCACTTATTGACAACATTATTCACCTTGACCTCCATCTCTTCCTTTGCTTTGCTGTCAACATAAGAAATCTCGCGAATTCTAGTTGGCTGGCGGCACATGGGACACTTCACGGAACCTGTACACCTGTCCATCTCATAAAACCCTCTATTACATAGAGTCCTCATGCACTCCAAACAGTAGCAGTGACAACACAGGAGAACTGCCCACTTCTCCCCAAGTTCAGCTTGGCAGATTGGACAAGGTTCAAGATTTTTACCGCCATCTTTTCCAAAATCTGTCTTTGAAAGATTCTGTAAATATAGAAGTTGGCCTAACTTTATTTTCAAGTCGTTCGTGGCGATGATCTTGTCCGATTTTAACTTTAACTCTTGAAGAGATAGTTCAGCTGGCTTTATCACATATCTAAGGGCCTCTATTTTCTTTTCCAAGTCACCACCATCTTTCTTCTTTTTTTGCTTGGGAACTTCTTCGTCTGGATAACGTAGACGGAGACGGATCGTGGCCATGTTCACTTCATCCATGGCGGACACAGTGTCAAACACAGCTCGCCACAGTATGCGGTAATTTTTGAATTCTTTTTTAGTGGCCTCCCAAACCTTAAAGTGTGTCTGTGAGTCCTCATATATCTCTTTCTCAACCCTTTCTAAGGATTTTGTCTGTAAATATTTCAAGACTCGTTCAGTCTCACCTTGACCCCAGTCTCCACGGCGAGTGGCCTGCATCACCTGGACCTTGTCTTTAACATTCTTTGTTTCTTTGGATACCCCAGTTGTTCTGCTGTGTTTTAACTCTCTCATTGAAAAGAGGGTTTCTTCATAGTCTTCAAAGAATTCATGTGTGGCACAGGTTAAGCACTGGGGTGGCTCCGACTCCATCGGACGCAGATGACAATCGATGGCTTCATCTAGCAAGGAAGCCGAATCTAGAGTTTGTAAATGTCTCACTCCACTAATCATATCAAGCCTCTGATCCTTCAGTTTTTTCATCTCAGCATTCAATACCAGTTGTAAGTGTGCCCGAGTTTTAACAGGGTAGAGAAGGCATTTGTGCTCCTCAAACCTAGAATACGAAGACAAAATCTCATCTCGTATCTCCAGCACAAAGTCATTGTCAAAAGATTGCAAGGCCGCCAGCCACCAACTTGTACCTAAATTATAATTATTTTCTAAAGTCTCCACAGCTTTAGAGTTCTGGGTACACTCTAAGTCAGCCGCAGTGACCTGCTGTGGGTAATGCTGCAGGTAGCGTTTACGGATGGTCTCCGCTTCCTCCCTGAGCGAGTCGTCCCTCAGTGTGGGTTGTATGCCTTGATGACCAGCCTCCAGGATCTCAGCCAGGTTGTGAATGGTGTGAAGACGCTGCAGACAGTCAGTCTTGATGTTTGTGTGCTCTTCTATGGACCTCAGCACATTTCGGTACATGTCAACAGCTTGTGGCCATTGTTTCTGAATGATAGCTATACCGGCAAGACCATTCATGGAAGCGATCAACAAACGATGAGCCTCTTCAGTCTCAAATTTAGTCTTCTTGATGAGGTTTTCTAGAAGCATCTCCATCGTCATGGTCTTGCGGTTCATTGACAAGAACTGCCCCTTCACAACCTGGAAAATACAAGCCACACTTACAAAACAGGTTCACGAATTCAGTTACTAAAATAAAAATTTTTACATGCATCACCAGCAGTTTCAATATCAGCTATACTGCACTGTACAATGTCTTAAAAGCCCAGGTACACCACTGATCAGCAAAGCCTTAAATATCCTACGGCCTTCATGCTTACCTGTGGATGGTTACACGCTTGACGTAATTTAAGAAGTGGCTGTATGAGAGAATTGAAGGTAAGTCTGTCCAGAGAGCTAAGTTTGATATTTGTGTCAGGGAACTTCTTCAGTCTGTTTTGGGCCTCATAAGAACACTCTGTATGCAGGCGCTGGTAGAAGTGCTCCTCAACACGTGTGAAGGACAGCCAGTGGACCTATGAACAGCAAACCAATGTTAAAAAAGTAAAAAAAGTAAAAGGGATACCTACTCACACCCTATTCTTTTACATTATGATACTTTCATTTAGAAAACATGACACAGCTTCCTAGATGTCCAATCTCCTAACATCTAGTGAGTCCTTCTCAAAACTTTCTAACTCCAACTTGGTCTTCCCGTCACCCTCCTCCCTGAACTCTTTATACCAATATCTGACATCCAACAGAACTTGAAAAATCTTAAATACAGTCTCTGGAGAATAACTGAGTGAGAATCATTGAACACAGACACACTGGGAAGTCAAAGTTTTCTGAAAGGCACACAGGTGACACTTACTTAAAAGTAGTGATGACAGATTGAGTAATAAGTTCATAATATGGTGGAGTCTGTTACAGAGAACTACTGGTACAGTATTAAGAATACCAGGACATAAGAAGTGAAATCTAGTGAGATAACAAACCTCCAGACGTGGGTATTAGCCTCACCTCCTCAATTTGTTGTGGGATGTCGATCTGGTGGATGACATCTTTCTTAGAGTTCCTCCACATGTACTGAGCTACAAGATCATGGAGAGGTTCTTTAATGCCGTGACAGTATGGCAAGTATAGGCATCTGTACCACCACTGAGCCACCCAGTAAGGATCTACTCCCAGGAACAACAGCAGACCCTGGTTAAGTACAGTACAGTATAAGAAACATTACTTAATTGTAACAGTGTTAATGATGCAAAACAAAAATACTGTGCATGAAAAACTGTGATAGCTTCAGGTACAATCATACAAACAACAAGAAACAGTCTCTCCCACAACTCATCACCATCATTCCTCAAGAATGTCTGGTGAGAACTTGAATAATAGGAATTAGTGCTGCATTCTAGAATTAACATATACTATATGTGCACTAGATTTAAATTAATTAACCTGGACCAGAGAATTGCTTACAGTATGGTAACTCAAACTACAATATAGGTATGTATATTCTATTAACATAAATCACATTAATTCTAATTTATTTAACACAAGCATCAACCAACCTGTAGCTCATTCACTGTCTTCTGTACAGGGGTGCCAGTGACGCACCACCTATTAATTGCAGCGAGTCTGAGGGCCATCTCGGCAGTCTTGTTGGTGGTACATTCGACCATCTGAGCCTCGTCCAGACACACCCGCCACCATTCGACACACGGCAGAGGGGACGGTGTTGCCATAAACCTCTTGGGATGTCGGAACCTGACGCAATGAATAGATAACTGACCATAATTTATTCTTTTTAGATTTACATTGAGGTGTCTGTAGCTTATTTATGCTTATAAAACCTGTACAGAGTTGATTGGTGTGCAGACTGAGAATGCTATCTAAATTCTGTAGACAATATTTGTTACTAGGATTATTCTACTTTAGTTTATGTTAAATCAAGGATGATAATGAGTTGTCTGTAGACTACAAAGTTCAATGGCATTTGGTACACCAAATACTTTCTTCTGGGGAGATGACTGTGTGCCATTGGCTAGTGAATTACATGATATTGGCGACTATAGCGGGTTGTTCAGTATAATCATGGCTGGATGTAACACACTTGTGATCTACATTTCCTACTCTGAAAACAATGTTCTGACAATGAGAAGCTCGGCTGGTACAACTGACGGGTCCGATATATAACACACCTTCGTCCCATCTGGCTGTTGCTGTGAGGTAAGTCGACGTAGTTCAGCTCTCGGCTGAGGGTCTCGTAGGTGGTAATGACAATATCAAAGTTGGCTAGGCAGTGAGGCTGCATGTAGCCCTGAGTTGCCACACCTTTATACACCAACATCCTAATAGCTTTGTGTTTCAGGTGCTTTATAATCTCATTCACCCACTGCAAACATAAAATCAGAGAATGAATTCCTGTGAAAATATTAATTTTTAGTCACAAGTGAAAATTCTGACAATTTAAGCATTTTGTAATTTTGAGAGAAGTCTTTTGAAAATGTATACAGTATATACAAATACAGTGAGAAATATAACTTATGTTACTTTCTAAAATCAAACAGAAACTGAAATACAATTAAGAAACTTATACACAATACACCTGTGCTCATTTTGATCCTAATATTAACAGACATAATTTAAGGAGTATAGAATGTAAGTCTTGAGATGGCCGCTCCTGGGGGACTGGGACAAAATGAAGGATCAACAATTAAATAATGAAGACAGTCTGTGGTGGGTACAGGTGAGGTAAACAATGGTTCTTCTAGTAACACCTGCCTCCCTTAACACATGAACAATAGATGTCTGGCAGGTGTTTAAGCTCAACAATATTTCAATAATAGTAGGAAAAGATCCCTGGAGAAGTGACTACACAAAACATTAACATACATTAAAACTTTACACAAAAGAGTTTTTAACCTTAAGCCACAATAATACACTGATCAGTCCCAATACTTCCCTCTTATCCTCTGTATATCCAACAACATTAATAAGCGTGTATGGCTGACCTGATAGACAATGGCAGAAGGCGTGACAATGAGAGTAGCTCCCGACACCACAGGCGGTTCCTGCGTCCAACAGTGAGGGCAGATGTACAGTCCTCTATAAGGGTCCATCATGTTGTACTGCACACAGTTCGCATGCTGCCACAAACTACACAACGAACACTGTACTCTGAATTTTTCGTCGCGGCTCTCAATTTCCGCAGACCCACAGACACACTCAAAGAAACTCTTCTGAGCTACTTTTGTGTCAAAAAAACATTGAATTGTCACTCGGTTCACAAACTCTTTGGCACTGTATTCAGCCATGCTGTTGGTGTACACAATCTGAAGTCTCTCTTTCATGGACATCAAGTAGCAAGGATCCTTCTTCCTCATCCTAAGAAACTTGCGAAATTCTTTGCAAGATCCTTCCTTCTTGTACTCTTTGGCATTACCATCCCAGCATTCTTTAATAATAGCAGACTCAATAGAAGACCAGTACGAGCTCTCGGAGATCTCTTGCTCAACACTGTAAGTAGATTTTTTGGGAAGTGTCTTTTTAACTGAACGTTTCTTTGTGGGCGGCTTGTAATTGTCCACTTCATCATCATCATCATCACCGAAGGAAGCGTAACCACAGACGAATTTTGTTGCTTCTCTCTTTGGTCTACCACTCTTGTTCACTTTACCTTTGTCTTGTTCTGTCTGTCTCTTTGGTATGTGTACTTTGATGCAACTTTGGGGCACCACAGGGTCTGACTTTACTTTCCTTCTGCCGGCTTTTCCCCGAGTTCTGTTCCTTTGGGCCTTACAATTTTTCACTTGATCTGTTGTGTCACCTACGCCAGAGTCCACGCTAATGTTTTCACTCGTACTGTCTCCCGTGACTGACTCTCTGACACCCTCGTCTTGTGGCTCTCCATCTAGGGTGAATATATCATTACCAGTTAACCTTTTACGATTAGGTTTCTGTGATTCAATACTAACTGGTTCTTGATAGGCCGGCTTTTCAACGTTCTGTCTCGGGTGACACAACATACACGACAGCACTTCCACGGTCTTTCCCAATCCCATCTCGTCCGCTAGAATACCTCCGGGAGTCGGCAAGATGGCCAGAGGTTTATCTTTCACCAGAAAACCTCCGTATCTGTTGAAGTAGAGAGTCACACCATCCTTGCTTGTTATCTCCACAAACAGACAGTGAAGATCACCCGAACCATCACTACTTTTCTTCTTTGTCTGAGTAAATTTCTCTTGGTGTAACATCCACTTTACAGCTGCCTTCTGGTATGGTCTTAACTGTGGGATCAAGCTCGGGTGTTGTACATCTAGAGCGCAATATTCTTTATCGCTGTGCCACTTCTTGATGGCAGAGAACAGCTCTTCCACGTTGTGCTTCAGGTTCTTGGTACCCGTGTAATTGAACGTACGAACACCGAAGAAATAAGACACAACGGCTCCCAAGGACTCATTACATCGGATTCTTTCACTGGGATGTTTTAAATCAGATACACCTCCATTCTTTAGGAAAACATTCAACGTCATTTCATCGGTGGCGTCGTCGAAACTCTCTAGCTTAAGGTCAAAATATCTCTGGGTGGACAAGCCTTGCCACACCTCCACATCCAACACACCTTCTATCATATAGTGGCGAAAATTAACTGCAGAAAGCTTCCTCTGTTTTGATTTTTTTGGCCTCCCCTCAGAATTCCACTCGAAATAAAGGGCACTAGTATCAGCTTCTACACTCACATACACCCAAAACTCTGTACAAGGTATCTGATGAAGGCTTTCACTTGTTACTTTATCTTTAAGTTTGAAAGTTATATTTCCAAAATGACAGAAATTGTTCTTATCTCTTTCTTTCCTTGGGCTAACAACACAATTTTCATTAGATTTTGAAACTTTTGCATAAAACTGGGACTTGTCGAGTACATTCTTGAACTCACCATAGTTCACCTTCTCTCGTACAACTCTCTCTCTCCTTGGCTGATAAACAACTTCGTCATCAATTTCGTCGACGAAGTCATCATCTCCATCCTCATACCTGACTTGAGCAAACCTACCCCAGTGGACTTCTCGCGGTCGTAAGGCCGGATCTCCCAGAGCTCCGGGTATGAAGTCTATATCGTTGTCGTCATCGTCAATAAGATCGTCGTTCAGCAGGAGAGCAATGTCGTCTCTATTATTCTCGTGCGGTGGGGCAGCTCCCTCCTGCCTTGGCTCAGCACCTCCATTACCCTGCTGGTTGTCTGCGGGACCGGCACCATCGATCAAGTTCCACTGCGCCCTTCTCTGCTGGATCTCATTTAGCTGTTGTGGAGGCTGCTTACTGCGCACCATTATGCTCCTTTATTATTCTGTGGGATAAGACATATGTGCAGTCATTAATGTGCAATAATAATGTTTCTTTATACTATGGTATAATACATCAGGCGTTATTTTTACATCTCATCATTAAAAAGTATCTGGTGAAGACTAAGAATCCCATTTATTTCACCTGATGATCAAACACTGCAATGTAATGTAACCTAACCTAACGTAACAGCATTAGGGTGTTTAATCATCAGGTGAAATAAGCTAGGGTGCCTAATCTTTATGAGATCCAATGTACATAATCAAATGTCACAAGAGGTCGCTCTATTGTAATACAAGTGAACTTTGAACAAGGATGATATGAAGCTTATACTAAGTCTGGGGGGAGGGGGGGTCATATCACAGTACTGTACTAAGCCATTCTAGACTTGCCCAAAGGACCTTACTGGAGAGAAGCATCTGATGGCCTTTTTAGTTATCCTTGGTTGTACTAACTTTCTGTTTATCATTGTTTGTACACCTAAGGTAAACACTGTATACTTGCACTGTCTGTACCCATGTTAAGCTATATACCAGTATCATCATTGTCTATATACAAACTGAATCAATGTACAATACTTGTATGATGCAGATTTGATGAGAAAAAGAAACCTTGTTTTAGGTGAAAAGCGTACAGTACAATATCTTGAAACAGAAAATGAACCACACATACCTAACCTAACCTCTAGTAAATTATATAACTGAATTTTGCCAGATGTGAATTTCTTTCTGTTTTATAGGTACAAATTTTTTTATCAACTGCATTAGTAAATGAATCCACACAAGATAATAAAAATGTCCAAAGATGATCATTGAGATTAATAAAACCATAATAAATTGTGCAAAATACAGTATGAGCATTAATATTAAATAAATTGTTTATAAATCATTGGCTGACACAGTGACCAGGTGTCAATACAACTAATAAATCTACCAGAGTTATTTCTGTCTAGCAAGTTATTTCTTCCTCAAGGTCTCCCAGTGAAACATAAATTCATTAATAATACCAATTCCTAACTCACCAACACTCGCTCTTATACACACTTCAAAGACGACAGTCCATACATGCCCTTCTGGGTAGACCTATATACATGTTCAAATAATTATTAACTTTTATGACGATTTAAATGAATAAAACCTCTACCTAAACCATCTCCCTTACCTCACACGTTACTGAGTCTGTGTATCAACAACCTCACAGCCGCTCCCCCTCACGCTAAGATGTCTTCCTATTAATGATCAACAAAACCTTTAAACCTTAATACTACGAGGATTTATAAAGCCAGATAACATAATTATATTAGAGTATTATATTTATTAGAACCCGATGTTTATATATATATATGAATGTAAGTTTATTGTAGTGGGTTAAATATTGTCATCTATTGTATATATACTATATGTCACAAAAGGATGATAAAATAATCTATTCCCACAGTTTATATTATTATTATTTTAATTTGATAAACAATTATTAATTATATATGACTTATAGGATTTTTTTAATGTTTAATGAAATTGTTATAGAGTTATCTACGTGTGTACTGGCAGTGTTCTGTGTTGTAGGGATGACTAAAGGTGACGACCAAGGAACTTCTTATTTATCTATATATTATCACTAGAATAAAACTATAAATTATAAATGTACGAATATAGGAACTATACATTTTGTTATAGTATAATATGTACTGTTATTTTAGTCAGCTGAAGTGTCAGTTTTTAAGGTGTCGGATATTCTTGATTAATATTTTATACTTGAAAGAAAACAATTTAATTATTCCAAATAACATTAATCCTATAATTTTTATTTTAAATACTTACTCAAAATAAATTTCTACAGCCTAAAAGGAGGTCAGATACCATGAGCTTGACATTGGTTGGTAGCTTATTTTCAACCGGGTATTTTAAAAAGAAAAACGCATTTTTTTTTCACTCTATTAAAAATTCTAAAATACCATATATAATTTAAGTGGTTGTGCATAATTTACTACATTCTCTGGCGCATTAAAGTAATGTGTGTATTACAAGGACGCCACAGACAGCAACAAATATGTTAATGCATTGAAGAAAAATGTAATATAAATTTTTTGATTAACAATTTCATGATAACACTGATAAGTGACAGTGCTGATCACAGTTAAAAGGCCAATCAGTGGGGAAGAGGTATAAAATATGATAAAGTACACTAAAGTTAAGTAATTGCTCTATAGTGCAACCATAATAAAAAATTAAGGTCTCCCATCAAAATTGCTAATTCATTTTCTTTGAAGAATCATAGAAAATGGATGTAAATAAACAGTTCATGAGGGAAATTAAATGAGGGACTTAAATAACCTGGAGTAGAATTAAAGACTTTGAATGAGATTAAATGCTGAAATTAAATGACTTTGAATGAGATTAAATGCTGAAATTAAATGACTTTGAATGAGATTAAAGGTATTACCGTTGTATTAAATAAATCAATCGAGTATATTTAATTAAATGGCGAACAATAACAATAACAATAATAATAATAATAATAATATATGTCATTTGCGCGGGAAACATAAAAAAAGAAAGTAACTTAGATTTGTCTGAAATGTTGATTGAAAAGATAAAGTTATCGAAATTCAGTTAATGATAATAATGATAATAATGATAATAACGATAATAACGATAATAATAATAATAATAATAGTAATAGTACTGTAATAATACTAATACTAATAATTATAATAATACAGGTCGTTTGAGGAGGAAACGTCATAGAAGAAAAGTGTCTTAGAATTGTGTGAACTATTGATTGCAGCGATAAAATTTTCGAGATTCGGTTGTTGGTACTACTATTACTACTACTACTAATAATAATAATATAATTACAATATTATTAACTATATGTAGAATAATTATTATATAGTAATTCAAGACAAAGTTAACTAGTATGATATTTGGGTATAACTGTACAATTTGTCTGGTGCAATACGACACATAATTATAAACAATATATAATATTCGTTAATAATATTATTTATAAACGCACATAAAAGCAAAACAAATACTATAGAGGAAAACTGTGAGCTCAGTTCCGTTGGTGATATATATGTATTTTTATTTACGCAAGTCATGGAAATTATTGAGTTATAAGCTTGCTTCAAAAATCTGCTACAGTGAGTTAGTTCATGTATACCAAGCAGGACACTAACAAAACCAAGTTGTGGTGGAAATGCAAGAAGAGATCCAATGGTTGCTGAATAGAGGGGGGAAATGGCACAGCTAAATGATATATTAAACACTGATAATTTTGCTGAGGAGCCGTAATCCTGGTTTGAAATGTGGACACAGCGCGAACATTCCCAGAAGAAAATCGCATTTGATTCCGGTGCCACACTGTCTTTGAAGGATCTTCTGAAGCAATGTGATTTGTTTGCTGGCAATCGAGAAGCCCTCTTGACCTCCTTGACACTTCTAGCCTCCACCTGTGATGTAGAGCAGTCATTGAGCACACTGAGACGTGCCAAGACATGGCCTAGATCAACAATGTTAACTAAACGTTTCTCTTGATTATGTATACTCACCAGGAGGTGTTAGCTAGAAAGAAAGCGGCTATTGTTCTCAGCAAGTCACGAGCATGATAGACAGATAGCATTGGCCATCCCAGATTATCAGGATTATCCATATTAATTATTTTAAATAGTTTTGAATGCTTAAAGTCAATCCTGTAATAATTTTAGTGATTGATAATTTGATGATAACACTGATAAGTTATATTGCTGATCATACAGTTCTCGAAAGTAACTCGATTATACTTGAGCATAATTCTGAATTAACTGATATGTTATGTCGTGTCTTGTCTTGCTTTCTTGTACCCCCTTTAAAAAATCCTAGAGGACACAGCCTCAAAACCTATAAGTACAGAAAACTGTGATAACAAACTTCTTTGTAATAAAAGTTCTGAACTCGTGGAATAACCAGCCAGATATTGTTGTGATGGCGTGAGCTCAGTCAAGACCATTTGACCAACAATGGTGTCATACATGTTCAAGTACCTTCATCCCTTTCCCGTCTTTAGCATAAATAAGGCAACAGCTAGCGTTCTAATCCTTCTGTGTTCTTTTATCACCAATTAAAAACAACAACATTTAATACAACCTCTACTGGGCCGCTGATATTACCTCCACAGATTATGATAACACGATAATCTAGTAGTTTATAGCACCAGTGATAAGAGTTAGGTAGGGTAGGGTAGGGTTGGGTGTGAGGACACGTACTCAGTCTTGGGCCAACCTCCTGCTGTATGATGGAGCGTGTGGTGTTGGCCGTCCTGTTGCAGGTGGGTAGTGTTATGTTGTGTTTAGATAGATAGATAATATATATATAAATATATATATATATATATATATATATATATATATATATATATATATATATATATATATATATATATATATATATATATAGAGAGAGAGAGAGAGAGAGAGAGAGAGAGAGAGAGAGAGAGAGAGTCATCTGTGTTTACGTGAGTCAAAAGTGAGTCAGATTTGTTTACGTGACTCGAAAGTGAGTCAGATTTGCTTACATGAGTCAAAAGTGAGTCACATGTGTTTACGTGAGTCAAAAGTGAGTCAGATGTGTTTACGTGAGTCAGAAGTGAGTCAGCTGTGTTGAGTCAGAGGTGAGTCATTTGTGTTTACTTGAGTCAGAAGTGAGTCAGCTGTGTTTACGTGAGTCAGGAGTCAGCTGTGTGTTACGTGAGTCAGGAGTCAGCTGTATTTACGTGAGTCAGAAGTAAGTCAGCTGTGTTTACGTGAGTGAATCCTGAGGGCCTGCATCATCTATACCAAGCTATCGTATGTGATCAAAGAAGTGACGTAACGATTCTCTTGTGATCACGTGTACAGGAAATTGCTTAGATTACATCATTAGGTTTTATTACGAGGAATGATAAGGCGAGGCAGTGGTGCACGTCAGGCGAGGCAGTTATGTACGTCAGGCGATAATCCTTCGTTTTATTGTTGATAATGGTTGCGTAATATAGCAATTATTTTATAAGTAGTTTTACACACACACACACACACACACACACACACACACACACACACACACACACACCGTTGTAATGTCTAGTTAAGGGAAAGATTAGCTTGTGGATTTTCATGGGCTTCATTGTTTATCTTATCTTACTATCTTAATCTGCTTTGGTTAGGTTGGGTTAGGTTAGGTAAGGTTAGGTTAGGTTAGATTAGGTCTCGTTTCTGGGATTCTGTTTCGCGTCATTTCATCCTACAACTTCTTCAGGTCTGCTGGATGGTGGTGGTAGGAGGCGCGTTGACACGACCTGGTATAGTGCCTGAAGGAGGAAGAGGAGGACCATCCCCACCCCCCCAGGACCTGATGGTGGTGGTGGGGGATATGTTGGTGCCTCAGGAGCTATATGATCAGGTCACCGCCCCGGCCACATCCAGGAAGGGCATAATTTACAAATATCTCTGGCCTAGAGAAAATGGAATACCTACAATACCTTATTTTATATCTGTGGGAGGTAAGTTCCTGTGTCTCTAACCTAACCTTACCTAGCTCAGTCCTAGTGTGTGTTTGTTGGTTGGTCTGTCTATCTATGTTCTATTTTCAGAAAACAATAGATAAATTATGTCTATTTGCTTCTTTTTATGGGTTCTCATTTTGACTTTCTTATGGTGCATGATATGGGTTCTGATTTGACTGTTGTTGTGTTTACAGCGAACAAGTTCACGAGGGAGATAGAGGCTGGGATGAACCATTGGGAGACACACACCTGTCTTAAGTTCAAGAAGACAACAGGTAAGAGAGAGATACATTTGGGTAATTTTTATATCCGTTTTCTATGTTCAGTTCCGGCAAAGAGAATGGACCTGACCTAACCCAACTTAACATAATGTAACCAAACTTAACGTAACGTAACTTAACTGAACCTTAAATATGTGTGTGACTGTGTGTGCGTATATGATCGTGTGTGTGTGTATGTGTTAGTGTACTTCTCTATGTGTGTATATGTGATGATGTGTACATAATACCAATGTTTCACGTGTACACAGGAAGTGACGCACACTCCATCATGTACGTGAGCAAGGGAGGATGCTGGTCATATGTGGGTATGATCGACTTTCCGACCCAGGCAGTGTCTATCGGCAACGGATGTCAGTCGGTGAGTGAAGTAGTCTATGAGTCAAGTAGTGGGTGAGTCAAGCAGACGGTGAGTGAAGTAGTCAAAGAGTGAGCCACTAACACCATAACACCATCACTAACACCATCATAACACCATAACTACCACCTCTTTTCACTTCACCCCCAGCTTCGCACGGTAGTCCACGAGGTCGGTCATGCAATCGGTCTCTTCCACGAACAAGCACGACCGGACCGTGACCGCTATGTGGTAATTCATGACAACAACATCCAAGACGGTCAGCATCGCCAGTTTGCCATAATGAGCTCGGATTTAGTGAATGACCAAGGGGTGGCCTACGATTATACCTCCGTCATGCACTACGGTGGATTGGTACGTTGTGAAATGCTTTTCGTTATACTGTACTGTACTGCACTGTACTGTACTGTACTGGGTTGCTGTAGGTAGTGGTATATCTCCGTCATGTGAGTACTAACCTTACCTAACCTAACCTACCACTAACCTAATTTAACCTTAGATAGCATTAGGGTAGTTAATCTTCAGATTAAATAAGCCTGAGGTGTCTATTCCTCATGTGATCTCTGAAAGGACTTGTATACTGTGACCCTCGGCAGGATTTCACTAAGAACGGACTACCGACGCTATCTACCAAGGACCCCAAGTACCAGGGTCTATTATCGAGGCGGCAGGAACTCTCCCATCGTGACAAACATATCGTCAACCTTATGTACGGCTGTGTAGGTAAGTCCTCTTGTGTCGTGTACCGTTTCACAGGCGTCCTCCTGCTGCACCAACATCTGCTAGATGTTCTCCTGATGTTCTTTGATGTTCTTCTGCTGTTCTTTCACCTGATAGATGTTCTCCTGCTGTTCTTTGTTGTTGTCCTGTTCCTACAACTGCTGTTCTTGCACCTCCTGGAAGAACATTGGCATAACACCAACATGATTCACATCCGCCAGACATGTGGATGAAGGCGTGTGACCTGCCCGAGACCCACTGCTTTGGCGAAGGATACCTGGGGAAGGACTGTACGTGTGTGTGTCCTCCAGGAACTTCGGGTCAGCGATGTGAGATCACCCAGGGCGAGTATTATGGTAAGTCATGACTCTTTAGTTCATATACTCCTAAGTTAACCTAATCTAGCCTAACCTAACATAACCTAATTTAATCTAATCTAACTAAAACTAACACACCCTACTCTAACCAAACCTACTGAAACGATCATTATTATCAATAATGTATAAATATTAGAGTATATAAACTGCTACTCGCGCCTAACATCCCTTATGTATATAGATATATTTAAATAGCGATTAATGACCTATTTTAATGTTGTTGTTTTTCTGTGAGTGTAGATACTGTACTGTGATTTGTTATTGCTTACAGGTGACATGATGCCAGCTTGTAGTCAGGTGATCACAGAGGAGAGAACCTTTTCCTCCCCGGCCTACCCCAGGAACATACCCGAGGGTGAGAGAGAGAGAGAGAGAGAGAGAGATTCCATTGGTAGATACTTGATAATGTTTACACTAACCTGAGCTCCTATTTGTAGGTACATGGTGTGTGTACACGGTGGAAGCACCAGTCGATCACGTGGTAGAGGTGACCTTCTTAAGTTTTGAAATGATCTTGAACAAACCCAGCGGGGTGTACAAATGTTACGCCGATTACCTGCAAGTCAGAGACCATGATATGTACAACGGCAACGTGTGAGTATACAGTACAAAATTCTCTGTCTGTCTTTCTGTCTGTTTGTCTCTATTTCGTAAGATTGTACAAAAGTATATCAGCTTCCATGGCGCTGTAACCTAAGCTAATCTAATATAATCTTATCTATTCAAGTTTAACCGAACCTAACATAACTTAACCCAACTTAACATAATATAATCGAATCTAACTTAGCCTAGTCTAATCTAACCTTCACACCACCTGTCTAAAACCACTCCTGCACCCTCAGGTTTTGTGGCCGAGGCATCAAGACTAACCAGAGCTTCGTCAGTACCTCGAGGACCATGTATGTCTACCTCCACACCACCACCTCATACTCAAAGGGTTTCAAGGCTGAGGTCAAGTTCTACCTCGCTTCCGACGCCCCGGATCCTAGCCCAGGGGCCGCTGTTAACGTATCGGGGTTCACTTGCCTGGTGGTGACGTGTCTCTTGGTGCATCTGCTGGTGGAGGTTCATTCTGTGTCAGACATTGTTGTTGGGTAGTGTTACTTAGCCTCATAGCTCATGTTATTTAACCTTAAAGCTCCTGCTACTTAACCTCATAGCTCCTGACACTTAACCTCATAGCTCCTGTTACTTAACCTTATAGCTCATGTTATTTAACCTTAAAGCTCCTGCTACTTAACCTCATAGCTCCTGCTACTTAACCTCATAACTCCTGTTACTTAACCTCATAGCTCCTGTTACTTAACCTCATAGCTCCTGTTATTTAACTTTAAAGCGCCTGCTACTTAACCTCATAGCTCCTGTTCCTTAACCTTAAAGCTACTGCTACTTAACCTCATAGCTTCTGTTCCTTAACCTCATAGCTCCTGCTACTTAACCTCATAACTCCTGTTACTTAACCTCATAGCTCCTGTTACTTAACCTCATAGCTCCTGTTATTTAACTTTAAAGCGCCTGCTACTTAACCTCATAGCTCCTGTTCCTTAACCTTAAAGCTACTGCTACTTAACCTCATAGCTTCTGTTCCTTAACCTCATAGTTCCTGTTACTTAACCTTAAAGCTCCTGCTACTTAACCTCGTAGCTCCTGTTACTTAACCTCATAACTCTGTACACAAGGAGTTAGATCACGGTACACTTGGAGTTAACCTCATAGCTAGTACCCGTATGAGTGACACTATTAACTGTATGAGTGACACTAGTACCCGTATGAGTGACACTAGTAACTGTGTGAGTGACACTAGTACCCGTATGAGTGACACTAGTAACTGTATGAGTGACACTAGTACCCGTATGAGTGACACTATTAACTGTACGAGTGACACTAGTACCCGTATGAGTGACACTATTAACTGTATGAGTGACACTAGTACCCGTATGAGTGACACTAGTAACTGTATGAGTGACACTAGTACCCGTATGAGTGACACTAGTAACTGTATGAGTGACACTAGTACCCGTATGAGTGACACTAGTAACTGTATGAGTGACACTAGTACCCGTATGAGTGACACTAGTAACTGTGTGAGTGACACTAGTACCCGTATGAGTGACACTAGTAACTGTATGAGTGACACTAGTACCCGTATGAGTGACACTATTAACTGTGAGTGACACTAGTACCCGTATGAGTGACACTAGTAACTGTATGAGTGACACTAGTACCCGTATGAGTGACACTATTAACTGTACGAGTGACACTAGTACCCGTATGAGTGACACTAGTAACTGTATGAGTGACACTAGTACCCGTATGAGTGACACTAGTAACTGTGTGAGTGTTACTAGTACCCGTATTAGTGTCATTAGTACCCGTATGAGTTGTTTAGTGGTAATTGTAATGTAGTTTGCTCACGGTAAGGCAAACATTACCTGAACGACATCTTCTAGTTAACCTCAAACTAATATTAATAAGTAATTCCATCTCCCAGGTTCATTAATTAAATAACTATGACAGCTAATTTTATTTTTGTAACCTAATTACTAGAGTTTCATAAGTGAAAAGGTCGTTAGGTGAATAAAGTGACGAGATAGTGAAACGCGGGTAACAAAGTCCGTAGAGTTTATCAGGGATATCTGGGGCTTTTCTTTTCATACGTTGCTTTTAGTGATTCTAGGGTGATATAATGATGGTCTAGTGTTGGTGAGCTGTGATTGGTCAGTGATGTTTAGTGTAGATGTCATTAAGCTAATTATTATCTTGGGTTACACTCAATAAATGTTGATTTTAATTATGGTTTTGCTGCTTGTTTGAGGAAAATGGTAAAGTGTTATAATCTCGGGCTTTCATCTAGAGTAGAGCAGTGTGTTGGTTGTCAATTATTGACTGTATTTCACAAGACTGGTACAGTTACGAGAACATAACTGACTGTTTTATTAACTGTTGTTTTATTGATCTGTGTATATTGCGTAGCGAGTGTATAACAGTGACTGTATCCTTCACACAGACTGTTACAACAGACTGATCCTGGTGAATAGTAACAGAGGTACTGTAAAAAGTTTGTATACCGTATAACTGTTATAGATGATTATTGTATTATTATAAATGTGTATTACGTTTTCTTTCCCTCTTACGTCTGACAGTGAAGCAAGGTAACATAATTCTTAATCTGTTATAAAATCAATGTCTTCTTTACCTTTTTGTGTTCTTTTATTAATTATCTAATATAAATCTCAAAGTGTAACAGAGTTCACAATTCACAACTTATTATGAAGTACTTCCAGACTTTTAAAGTTAGTACTGTACCGCCATCTCGGATAAACACAACGAGACTAAATGATAGACACAACGATGACAATGTTTCTTATATCTATTTTACCATTGATATCAAGTTGCGCTGCTTCATATTTAATATATCAATAATATAGGAATATATATTATACGAGTTATGATATATAGCAGTTTATTACCTTTTAAAATATAGAAATGATACAGCCTATAATGACGTACCCCGCTCATGTTTGTGTTATTTAACCTTCTTATTATTCTTTTTATGCTTATTATCATATACCTCAACCTTCTTTTTCTATTGTATTTCCTCTTCCATTTACACACTCTGGACCACAACATGACATATTTTCATCTACCTATTATTCACTATCTCTTATCTACTATACACATTACTCCTTATTATGCCAATTACATTCTTTATCACGTTATTGGAAGATATAAACAAGTGAATAAGTAAATAAACGATAACTAAGAGAACTGTATAAGTGAACGAACTATTACATAATGATCAACAATAAAAGACTATGGCGGAGCTGGGGACCCGGAGAGGGGAAGAAACACCATGGTTTTATTTTCTACTCCAGCCACGAGTGTTTGTGACTGTATCTTTGTTTGTCTCACAGCTCAGTTCTGGATCCTCGCGGCGTCAAGAGCTGTGGTGTCATTTGTTGCTGCAAGGACTTAACATCTGCGTTTATGAGAGGTGTTATGTTGAGGGCCTTGGTGACGTTAACGAGAGAGAGAGAGAGAGAGAGAGAGAGAGAGAGAGAGAGAGAGAGAGAGAGAGAGAGAGAGCTCAATCACAGCCACCTTCACCAGGCTTCTGCATCCCGCGACATATGAAAGACCAAGTAATTGCCACTTGTAGATGAGACTCAGGTCAATATGGTTTCGTAAACGGAGGTAAATGAAGCCTTATGCACGATGGCCAGAAGATGTGGTTCACGTGTTGAAGATGGAGAGCTAAGCCTCCAATCCTTCTCCAAGATGTACGGATGTGTTGATGGGTAGACGTTAGACGAGGACAAGTCTTATTAATGAGGAGAATCAATTGTGTTCTCTTGAGTTCCATGGATGACGTCTGAGTGGTTAAGTTAAGAGGAAGACACACAAGTTCAAGGAGCGACAACTTGCTGCTGAGGCCAAGATAAAGATGATAACTTATTCCCAGAACTGCAAATGTTTATTGTTTCTGAAGATTACACTTGAGGAGGTGCAGGTGGGATAAACACACACACACACACGACCCTTCATTACATCAACGACGCCTGGTGATGCTCAAAAATACAAAGGTTTCATCAATACGACAATTAAACGTAAGGATTCTGAGTGGCAAAGTTGCTGCTGCTGTGTACGAGTGATGGGATATAGACCGTCAGTGATCCTCTGTGCTGTGTTTATACTTTACGTCTGGCTGTCACTTTACATTGTGCCTGGTATGGTGTTGTCTTTACGAGGATGTGAAGGAGCTTGATCGACGAGACCGCCTTCCTCCTCCATCCGTCCGTGCCTGAAGGGGATGTCCACCACTACGGCCCTCTGTGTGCCCATGGGTCCTACACTTCCCAACCTACTGAAGACGAAGGGCTCTCGAGAGGGTCCTTGTTGCTGTCTCTGGTGGTAGTAGAAGGGATGCTGGAATCCTTGGAAGTCCTTCTCACTGCTGTCAAAGCCTTGGATGTCTGGCAGAGAGAGTGAGAACCATTTGAGGAAAAATTGCCGTTTCTTCGCTAAACAAATCACATCTAGATGAGAAAATCGTCACCAAAAGAGAAAACTACTGTATAACAACAAAACAAAACAGTCTTAGCATATTTAATAATCTCTAAAGCTCAGTATGGACACAAACCACAACACATACACCCGCGCTGTACATAACTCACTTACAAATCGTTTATGATACTTATATGAGCTACTTACCACTTAGCAGTCGAATAATTAAGCAAAAGTGTAGTGAGGCGGCGCAGGACAAGGGGAACAAGAAGGACATCTAGGAGTGTGAAGGACGAGGAGAAAGAGGAAAAGTAGGAAAAGGTGGATGGAGAGAAGGAGGAGAGAGAGGAGAAGCAGGAGAAGGAGGAGGAGAAGAAAAAGAAGAAAAGCGGTAAAAGAAGGAGAAACAAAAGAAGGGGAAGTAGGAACAGAAGAAGCTAACCTCTTTTGTCCAGATAGAAATCTGGATCATTCTTCAGGAGAGTGTAGATGATGCGAGCGTCCTTAAGTTGCTGTTTACCGGAGATGAGAGAGAGCCAGTCCTGGTTATGGTCTCGTGTGGGGGCGTAGCGAGCCATCACTACCCCGGCCAGCCCAGCCATCTGTCAGACGCAATGGTATACTGCCCTGTACCAACTGTCATACACACGATATACTGATTGATATATATATAACTATGTTATATAATCACTCCACCATCTCTCACGTCGTATAAAACTTGTTAGATTAGTATACTGAAAGACGATATGCTCATCATATAACAGCATTGAGGAATATGATTATAATATAAGTTATATCTCTAAACACCGTCACTTTAAACACAGCTATACTACTTGATAAAATATTGTATTTACGTGTTTTATATGACTGATCTCTATATCATGTTAACGATATACTCGACTGCACGTCTACCCTGTCACCTATATCATATAGAGATTGTTATAGTGTTATACCGCATCTTATGTTATATAGTTAGAATGGCTTATATACTCACAAGTAAGGCGAGGAAACAGCGCATGGAACCGATGTTTGGAGGAGGACTGGTGGTGTTGTGACTACGGTGGTCGGCACTGGTCTGAGGCTCCTACTGGCCCACCACCGGCTTATATACCCCCCGGCCCCTGTGTGCTCACGGATTGTTGGGATAAGAAGCTTATTGGAACCTCGACTGTGTACCTCTTACTCGTTATTGTTCCCTCTAAGACGGTCTTTGTGAAGGAGGAATTTCTCAACAAGTTCTTTTTTATTGTTCGTTAAGGAAATCATTATAGACAAGTTGTACTGTAAGCTCTTCATCAATCCATCAAAATTTATTATATATTCAGGTAATAACTTTATGAGATCCTAAATATTAAAGTTATCTCTATTTTCTTCCTATAATCTTGTTCTCTTAATATTTTTACAGGTCAAATATCGCCAACACACCTCACCCTTCCCCTACACACACACTCACCAACCTACACATACACAAACACACATTCCAACGCCAAAACCAACACCTACATCAAGTCTCCACCACCACATACAGATCGTCCTTCCAAATAACCTTTACCTGACGAAACATCACCAACAGTACAGAGACTCACAAACATACACCAACAACACTGAGATGCAGCACAAGACCTTCACCACTATCTACAGGTGATCCTTGAGTAAATATGCACGAGAGACTAAGTGTGTGGGGGCGGGGGGAGGGGTGGGGAGGTCTGAGAACGGCGTCCCCTTCTCTCAGTTGTCTCTCGGCTTCTGATCGTATACATTGCCTAAAGCTTGTACCGTGTTGACGTGTAGGATGATGCCATAATCGTTCTATTTTTTTTCCCTTAAGGACCTTGTTGCCATCTCCTGCCATTTTCTGTTATTTGATGCCATATTCTGCGACTCTTCTGCCATGATGTGCTATCGCTAGTGACCCTCTTGTTATCTCTGGACGTATCTTGCCATTTGCTGCCACCTCTTGCCACCTTCTGCATTCTTCTGCCACCACTGTCATCATGTTCTCGTTCGCTTTCCAGCTTTACCAGTCACGTTGTCGCCTCTCTCTTACGTTCTGTCAGCACCACCACTACCACCACGTCCACCACTACCACCACTACTACCACCACCACCACTACCCTCACATCTACCACCACCACCACCACCACCACCACCACCCACCACTACCCCTCATCTACCACTACTACCACCACCACCACCACCACCACCACCCTCACATCTACCACCACCACCACTACCCTCACATCTACCACTACTACCACCACCACCACCACCACCACCCTCACATCTACCACCACCACCACTAGGTTAGGTTTGAATAGGTTAAGTTAGGCTAGGTTAGGAAAGGTTTGAATAGGTTATGTTAGATTAAGTTTGGTTACGTTAGGTTACGGGAGAAGATAAGGAGCTGAGAGAGACGGTGGTGTTGCTGAGACTTGGTTGTTGACGCAGCAATTTAAAAGTCAAGTCCTAGAAGTTGTCACGTTTGCTGGGTCCTGTGTGTGTGTGTGTGTGTGTGTGTGTGTGTGTGTTTACATCATCTCCATCTCTCTTTCTCTCTCACTCTCTCTCTATCTCTAGCTATATCTCTTGAATTTTCTTTCTAAGTTTCTCTCTCTCTCTGAATTATTTATTACGCTCTCTGTTTGACTCAATCTTTTTAAATCTCTCTCTCTCTCTCTCTCTCTCTCTCTCTCTCTCTCTCTCTCATAATCTTTTCTCTTTACTTCTCTCTCGAAATTACGATTTAAATTTTAATGCAATCAAGAAACAAAAAACATTCAACTTGCGTTTCTGAGAATCCGGATTTTACGCTGCCGACCCTGTAAATAAACAAAACAAGCCGGTGACAGAGTGTGTGGGTAAATTCCCAACAATATCGACGCTATTGTTAGCGTTGTCATTGTGTCGCAGTTTAAGTCAGGCAGTTAAATACTTTCTTACGTCGCCAGTTAAGTGTAAAATGAATCATACGCACAAGTTTCTGATAAATCTAGCGTAGGAACTGGATTCTCAAAGGTTCTTACGCGCGTACAATGATCTCCGAACTGGATATTATTACGAACGCCTCTAAGGGTGATCTTGTGAAAGTGTGAAGGGAAATGTGAGGTGGCCTGGGTGGTGGGTGGCCTGGGTGGTGGGTGGCCTGGGTGGCCTGGGTGGTGGACGGCGTAGGGAGATGTAGGGTAGCTAGGGTGGAGGGTGGTTGTGATGGTGGCGGTGGTGGGTGGGTGGCCATGGTGATTGTGGTGGTAGTGGTAGTGGTGGTAGTGGTAGTGGTGGTAGTGGTAGTGGTGGTGATAGGTGGAGGGTGGCGGGGCAGGAGGAGTCTCTCTCTATGTTAGGAGCGCGTCAGTGTGCTGGTAGACGCAGGAGGGTGAGGTTATCGCTGCTTTTGACACCAACACAATCTATTATCACCGCTTGTGTCTCAACCCCTAGGAGCTACCACAGCCGGCCTCCCCACCTCACTGTCCCGGTGTGTATAAATCATTCTGTGTCATCTTGTACTGTACATGCTCGTTGAGACATCCATCCTTTGATATCAATTGTCGTCTCTATGACTGTGTGTAACTGTCTATCATATACTGTGACTATCAGTTTTATATCGAGGTATAACTGACTGTCGGTTGTTCAACTGTAACTGGTTATGTTTCCCCCAAGTCAGGACAACATCAGCCAATTGTTCTTCTCAATATTTTAAAGGAATAAAAATTTTCCTGTGTGCCACATTAGCCAATAGCAGCCTCGTATTAGAATGACGTCATTGAAACTCGAAAGAAAACGAGATAACCAACGTACACACCTACACGTACACACCTACACGTACACACATGCATAACAATTCATGCACGTGAACACATACACAGACACACACACACACACACATATATATATATATATATATATATATATATATATATATATATATATATATATATATATATATATATATATATATATATATATATATATATATATATATATATATATATATATATATATATATATATATATATATATATATACACGTACACGCAGATAGACACTAGCATACACACACACACACAGGTACACACACATGGTCCAGTAATAGGAAGGCTTCTTATCTATAAAGTTCACAGTCGTATATAATAAGATTATTAATTAAAATAGTGAAGCCATTTAACCAATGAAAATAATCTTAACCTAATGACACAAATCTTAATTAATTTAACCTAGTTTATCCTAGTTTAACCTAACCTAACCTAGCCTAGACTAACCTAGTCTAGCCTAGACTAACCTAACCTAAGCTTATAATTATATAAACAAAGGAGATATGTGTTTTCTTGGTCTCAATTATGTACGTTTCTTCATATAGATCATCGCCCTTTATGTACTTAACTTACATATTCCAGTGTTGTATATATCTCGGTGGGACAGGTGATTTATGTACACTTGTATATGTACTATTTGTGCCGTAGTTCATCCAGAATTGTACAGTACTTAACCCATCCAATGTTATGTACATCGGTTGGGCTTATAGTTGTATCTATGGGTTGAGTACATTATTAACCGAGTACGTATCCATTGAGTACATTATTAACTGAGTACATATCCATTGAGTACATTATTAACTGAGTACATATCCATTGAGTACATTATTAACTGAGTACATATCCATTGAGTACATTATTAAACGCGTACATATCCATTGAGTAAATTATTAACTGAACATATATCACTCATATTACCAATATACCTCTCATTCTCTACCTGTCCCTCTCAGTCACTCTCCCACACCTCCTCTCACAGGGTATAAACATGTTTGTGACAAGACCAAATACACTACACTTATGACCTCCCCACCCCCCACCACATGACCTCCCCATCCCCCACCACATGACCTCCCCCCCACCACATGACCTCCCCCCCCCACCATGACCTCCCCACCCTCCACCACCATGACCTCCCGACTCCCCACCACAGACCTCCCCCTCCCCACCACATGACCTCCCCCCCCACCATGACCTCCCCCTCCCACCACATGACCTCCCCACCCTCCACATGACCTCCCCACCCCCCACCACATGACCTACCCACCCCCCACCACATGACCTCCCAGTATATCTCTCATTACCCGGTATCTCTCTCTGTCTCTCACTCCTTCTCTCTCTCGTGGTCAGGTCATTACACTTCCATCTTACACGTATTCTTGGGTCACGCTCCTGTACTTGTGTGACGATGACTGAGTGATATACCCACTACACCCACTTGTACCCACCTACACCAACTTTTACCCACTACACCCACTTTTACCCACTACACCCACTTTTACCCACTACACCCACTTTTACCCACCTACAGTACACCCACTTGTACCCACCTACACCAACTTTTACCCACTACACCCACTTTTACCCACCTACACCCACTTTTACCCACCTACACCAACTTTTACCCACTACACCCACTTTTACCCACCTACACCCACTTTTACCCACCTACACCAACTTTTACCCACTACACCTACTTTTACCCACCTACACCCTCTTTTACCCACCTACACCTACCTGTGGCCACCCGTAATCACCTACAATCGTGTGAATGTTGGGAATTAATGTATTGTTTAATAATATTCAGAAACTTTTGTTAGTAGTGTTGCTCTGTCATGGCTTGTGAAAATATCTCATAAATTCTCCAACTAATATTTTTTTTATATTCTTTCTTTTTAACTTTAATAGTAAAGAATATACATATGATCAGTTAAACCATAGTAGCGATTATTTGCTGTACGTGTGTCCGTTCGTCTGTCTGTCCGTGTTGTTAGACTAGCTTGTCCGTGTGATATCTTCTGTTCTAATCGTGCGATCTTCACCAAACTTGACTAAATTATTTGTTATTACTTAAGGAAGATATCTATTAATTTTCGGGGTACTAGGTCAAAGGTCAAGGTCACTGTTGTTAGTAAGTCTATAATAAGCCTAGTTTCCGTGTGATGATTTGTAACTTTACATCGAGTGGGGGACGGGAAGGGGTGAGGGGGGGTGAGGGGTTAAGTGAGAGGCTGGAAGAGTAAAGGGAGGGAGGAAGGTAAGGGGGTGGAGGGGTGAGAGAGGGAAGGGTGAGGGGAATGAGTGACGAGGGAGGAGAGGTGAGAAAGATGAGACGGTGTAGGTGTATGGGTTAAGGGGAGAGGGTTGAGGGAACAGCGGGAGAGAGGCGAGGGAAAGGGAGGGAGAGAAAAGGGGTGAGGTGCTTGACGGGTAAGGGGTAAGAGGGCTGAAAGGGGGTGGCTCGGTTACACACTCTCTCTTTCCCCACTCTCGCCCCTGGCTCCCTCACTCTCTGACTCCCTCGGGCTCCTGACTCCCTCGCCCTGCTCCTCGCCCCCTGACTCCCTCGCCCCTCACTGCCTCGCCCCTGGCTCCCTCGCCCCTCACTGCCTCGCCCCTGACTCCCTCGCCCCTGACTCCTCGCCCCCTCGCCCCCTCCTCCCTCGCCCCCTCGCCCCTCACTCCCTCGCCCCCTGACTCCCTGACTCCCTGACTCCCTGACTCCCTCACTCTCCTCAAACATCAACCTTGAATATTGGGATCCTATTTTCTTGTTGATGGGTGTGGTGGTAGTAGCGATGGTGGTAGTAGTGGTGATGGTAGTAGTGGTGATAGTGGCAATAGTGGTAGCAATAATAATCACGGTGGTAATAGTAATGATAATAGTGGTGATACTGGTAACTGTGATGGTAATAATAATAGTGTTGATAGTTGTGGTAATAGTGGTGATAATGGTGGAAATAGTATTGGTAATGGTGGTAGTTGTGGTAATAGTGGTAGCATCATATGATAATTCTCGTAACCTCTTCGCGCGTCACTTGTTTATCCTAAATGTAGTATTTGGCAACTCATCCACACACTGGGTTGCCACTGACAATTTTACCTCTAATAATTTTGTCTTTTTCATCTTGACTCTTTATTGTAACGTCTAAATCTATATGACACATGTAAAGTAAATAGAAAATTATGTATATTATTTTATTTATGATATGAATGAAGGATAAATAAAGATTTTATTGAGTTTATATAGATAATTGTATTAGGGGCAATAATAACATAAGGAGATGCCTCGTGTTACGCAGGTCTGACTGTGTGTGTGTGTGTGTGTGTGTGTGTGTGTGTGTGTGTGTGTGTGTGTGTGTGTGTGTGTGTGTGTGTGTGTGTGTGTGTGTGTGTGTGTGTGTGCTGGGCTATTTCCAAATGTTACCTACCTACAACATGTACACCTACAACCAAGTACACACACCTCCATTACCACACACACACACACACACACAAGCGTAGACTGAGGCGCTAGTGGTCCGTCAGTCTCTTTAAAACAGTGAAATATTCAGAAGTGTCGGGATCGTTTCTGTGTTTCACACCTCTAGGGACCAGGTTCGACCCCACCCCCCCCCACCCTCGAGTATAAAAGGTCAACAGAGGTCAAGCCTCAGTTTCATCTTCAGGTCAGGTTAGGTCACGTCAGGTATAGTAAGCTTGTTTAAGGTCAGGGCGTGCTATAGGTTATATTTAAGTCATCTTCAGGTCACCTCAGGTCATGTCAGAGGTCAGTCATCTTCAGGTCACCTCAGGTAATGTCAGGGGTCAGTCATCTTCAGGTCATGTCAGGGTTCAGTCATCTTCAGGTCGACTCAGGTTACGTCAGAGGTCATCTTCATGTCAGGTTGAGGTGCTGCTGGTAAGGTACATGTTGGAACGTGTGTAGACGTGTTTGGGCTCGCCTGAACATGTCGAGACGTGTCAGTACATGGCAGGTTGACCTACTGTGTATGTGTGTGTGTGTGTGTATATATCTGTGTATGTGTGTGTGTGTGTGTGTATGTGTATATCTGTGTATGTGTGTGTGTGTGTGTGTGTGTGTATATCTGTGTGTGTGTGTGTGTGTGTGTGTATATCTGTGTATGTGTGTGTGTGTGTGTGTATATCTGTGTGTGTGTGTGTGTATGTGTGTGTGTGTGTGTATATATCTGTGTATGTGTGTGTGTGTGTGTGTATGTGTATATCTGTGTATGTGTGTGTGTGTGTGTGTGTGTGTATATCTGTGTATGTGTGTGTGTGTGTGTGTGTGAAAGTCCTGGAGAACGACCGAACTATTTTACAGTGATACACCTCAGATGACGTCACAATAACAACGTTTTCCATCCACAGTGTTCATATATTGACAAAGGAACAAGTTCGTGTACTGTTTGCTAAACATTAACATCTTGTGCAGTTCCTAATAACCTGAAGCAATGTAAGGTATTGACTGGTCTAATTTAAACCTTTTTCTTTAAGTGTTTATTGAATGTTTTATCTTTTATGGCCATTTTGAAATATAACCGTATTAATCTTGAGTTAAATATGTCCAGTCACCTGCAATTATACCTACTACAGTGTCTGGTGCTTTTTGTGAGATGTGGCAGAACTGTGTTTGTTTACATCATATTAAAACTCCTGGAATGGCTCTAAGGAACTTTGCAATAGTAGCCAGACTAGATAAGCATTCCACAGTGGTGCCACATCTCACAAAATGTTCCATTCACTGTCGCAGTATAATTGCAGGCGACTGAACGTTAAGGGAAGTATAAGGTTAAATTAATCTCCCTAATGTCAATATTATTTCCAATATTCATGAACTAACATGTTAATTAATGGAGCTAATATTAACAGTTAAGTATCCTAGTTACTGACACACTGTATGAAAAAGAAATATCCAGTTTTTTTTAGTCATTATCGATCACAACAGTTTAATGGCTTCAGTTATACGCATTAGACAACAGTTTAATGGTTTCAGTTATACGCATTTGACAAAAGCTTAAAGCTTCAGTTATACGCATTTGACACATCAACAACTCGTGTGACTTAAACAACAGGACCTGGACCTAAACTGACCAGGGTGTTAAAGCATACGCTACCTGACTAACCTGTCCTCCCTAACCACAAGATATCGCTTAACTTAGTACATATCAACCATGACCTCCGTTAAAGGACTCACTAATATGCACAACCATAACATCAACAAACGTCTCACTCACATCAATCTGGTCCGGGACAAAAACTGGACCGCATTCGAAAACGTTGTTGGCTCTGGGTGCAAAATCAATACCAGGCAGACGCCGAAGCTAGAGGTACAAGAGCGCCAGGGGTGGGATACGGTCGGGCGTTGTGTCCTATTAGTATAGGATTGAGGGTCCTACGGCTCGGGTGTGGGATAGCACTGTGCATAGGAGGCGTGGAGGGCAGTGAGAGAGGCCCTTGGAGGGGAGGAGGTAGTAGTAGGAGAGGCAGGGAAGGAGGGACGGGAGAGAAGAGGCGGTAGGAGGACGACGAGGAGGAGGTAGTGGAGAAAGGGAGATCTCCTACCGTCCTCCTAGCGTCCTCCTCACCTTTGATGTTCTAATGGTGTTGGTCAACCCTCGTCTTGAACATCTATACAGGTAACAGCCCTCGTACTTAACTTACCTCCTCCACCTACACCATAATTATCGTATACGGGGGATGAATCTCACACCTAAGGCACCTTGAGCTGAAGAGTGATGAAGATGATTGTCGTAAAATTGGGTTAAAATTGTCGTTTTTGGTTTACGTCGTTTCCTCTTTAAAGTAGTTGTTATCGTACTCGAAGGGCTTGGTATCGCTTCTGAAGGGGTTGGTATCGTACTAAAGGAGTTGTTATCAGGCAAAATGGGTTGCTATCGTACTGAATAGGTTGATATCGTGCTGAAGGGCTAAATTATCGTACATTAGGTGCTGGGACCGTACAGAAGGGGTAAACATTTCGTAATGTCATAGAAAATTATGAGAAAAAAAAAATTCCACACAGGTCAGGTCATCTGAGGCGAACATTAATTATTCTTTGCTGTCCCTCGCTCTCCCTTTCCTCTCTCTCCTCTCTCTCTCTCTCTTCCGCTTCTTCTCCCTCTCCCTCTTTGCCACCTCCACCTCGCTCCCTCTCTCCCTCTACCCCATCTCTCCCACCTTCGCCTCCCTGCCACACTCTAATTACCCTCCCTTTCTTCTCCCTGCATCCTCTTCCTTCCCTCCTCATCTCCCTACCTATACTCTCCTAGACTCTCATAACTTGAATAAATTTCTCTGATAAACTGACCCTCTTCATTTTTACTCTCACTCTCTCTTTCTCCCTTCCTCTCCCCTACCCCTTTCCCCCTATCTCTTCCCTCCCCCTATCCTTCCTTCCCTCCTATCTCTCTCCCTACCCCTTCCTCTCCCCTATCCCTTCCTCTCCCCCCTACCCCTTTCCCCCCACCCCCTCCCCCCTATCTCTTCCTCTCCCCTACCCCTTCCTCTCCCCTATCCCTCCCTCCCTTCCTCCCCCTCCCCTCCCCTCCCTTTCTCTCCCCTACCCCCCTTCCTCTCCTCCCCTATCCCTTCCTCCCCTCATCCCTTCCTCTCCCCTCTCCCTTCCTTCCATTAACATTTTTATCTCGTCTGTCTACACCTTCCTAGTCTATCTCTCTTTATCTCCGCGTTCAACCTTTTTCTCTTTACAATGTCATGTTTATTTATGTATCTATTTAGCTGCGAGGTTGGGTTGGGTTGGGTTGGGTTTGGGTTATTGGGTTGGGTTGGGTTGGGTTGGGTTGGGTTGTGTTGTGTTGGGTTGGGTTGTGTTGTGTTGTGTTGGGTTGGGTTGGGTTGGGTTGTGTTGTGTTGGGTTAGGTTAGGTTAGGAGTATATAACAGTGGCAGAGAGACCATCATCACCCCCAACCAGGTGACCACTGAGGCGAGTGACACGATCATAGGGGCAGGTGTTGGAACTCACCCTCCCATACACTGTCTTGTGTTGGAAGGACAAAACACTTTACCCTATCCTGACTAAACCCAACTTAACGTAACGGTAATCTAACGAAATTTAATGTAATCTAACCTAACTTAATCTAACCCAATGCTCACCTAACCTAACCAAACCTAATGTTAATCTAGCCAACAGTAATTTAAGCATACACTCCCTCCCTGCCAAGTAAAGACACGCACTGTACATGGAGGAAACGTATTGGTTGGGCACGTACACAGAAGACACATACATGGAGGACACACACACAGAACACACGTACAGATGACACATACACATAAGACACGCAGGTGGTAGGTGACCGTGTCTTATCAGGCATTGACGACACTTCACTTCGCCTCAAACTTATACACCACCTGCCACTCAGAGAGCTTGATTCACTGGCCACTCAGAGAGCTTGATTCACTGGCCACTCAGAGAGTTTGGTTCACTGGCCACTCAGAGAGCTTGATTCACTGGCCACTCAGAGAGCTTGATTCACTCAGAGAGCTTGATTCACCGGCCACTCAGAGAGTTTGGTCTACTGGCCACTCAGAGAGCTTGATTCACTGGCCACTCAGAGAGCTTGATTCACTCAGAGAGTTTCACTGGCCACTCAGAGAGCTTGATTCACTGGCCACCATTTGGTTCACTGGCCACTCAGAGAGCTTGATTCACTGGCCACTCAGAGAGCTTGATTCACTGGCCACTCAGAGAGCTTGATTCACTGGCCACTCAGAGAGCTTGATTCACTGGCCACTCAGAGAGCTTGATTCATAGGCCACTCAGTGAGCTTTATTCACAGGCCACTCAGAAAGCTCAACTCAGTGGCCACTCAGGGAGTTTAATGTATTGGTCGTTCAGAGAGCATGACTTACCAGCCACTCAGCGAGCATGGCTTACCAGCCACTCAGCGAGCATGGCTTACTAGCCACTCAGTGAGCATGACTTACTAGCCACTCAGCGAGCATGACTTACCAGCCACTCAGCGAGCATGACTTACCAGCCACTCAGCGAGCATGACTTACCAGCCACTCAGCGAGCATGACTTACCAGCCACTCAGCGAGCATGGCTTACTAGCCACTCAGCGAGCATGACTTACTAGCCACTCAGCGAGCATGATTTACTAGCCACTCAGCGAGCATGACTTACTAGCCACTCAGCGAGCATGACTTACCAGCCACTCAGCGAGCACATTACTAGCCACTCAGCGAGCATGACACTGCCACTTACTAGCCACTCAGCGAGCATGATTTACTAGCCACTCAGCGAGCATGACTTACTAGCCACTCAGCGAGCATGACTTACCAGCCACTCAGCGAGCATGACTTACTAGCCACTCAGCGAGCATGACTTACTAGCCACTCAGCGAGCATGACTTACCAGCCACTCAGTGAGCATGACTTACTAGCCACTCAGCGAGCATGACTTACCAGCCACTCAGTGAGCATGACTTACTCGCCACTCAGCGAGCATGGCTTACCAGCTACTCAGAGAGCTTGATTCACTGGCCACTCAGCGAGCATGATTTACGAGCCACTCAGCGAGCATTTACGAGTCCCTAGCATCGTAACACTCTCACTCCTGCGTTTAATTAAGCTGATCATTCATTATCTCGTGTTCCCTTGTTTACTATCTACTGGTTTTATGTTTTCCTCCTGTCTGTCTGTCTGTCTGTCTGTCTGTCTGTCTGCATCGAGTACGTCTCGGCCCTGTGTACAAATCAGAGTGTGTACATTTCGAAGTATGTATATCACTCGGGTGTGTACATCTCGGAGTGTGTACGTGTAGATAGCGAACGTTTCTGAGGAGACCTTATGTGTGTGTGTATGTATGCATGTATGTATGTGTGTGTGTGTGTGTGTTTGTGTAGACGAATATAATCCCAGTCTTACTCTTTCCTCGCCACTCTCCTCTCCTCGCCACTTTTCTCTCCTCGCCACTCTCCTCTCCTGTTCTCATCCTCTCACCTCACTCCATTTTCTTCCTTCACTCTCTCTCTCTCTCTCTCTCTCTCTCTCTCTCTCCATCACGCATGACAACGGGGGAGGGGAGATGACCCAGGTGTTGTGGTGCTTTACACTGCAAATATAACAGAAGAATAATGACCTTTAAATGTGGTGTTATTACACTGAACACCGTGTTAGTGACGCACGGGGGGGAGAGGAGGTCGAGTGAGGGCTGAAGAAGAGAGGAGACAAGCTTTATCTGAGACTGACACTGTTAACATAACACCTCCCTCCAGGGCTGACACTGCTCCACCCCTCCAGGCTGACACTGTTGCCACCCCCTCCAGGCTGTTACCACACTGACACTAACACCTCCCTCCAGGCCACTGACACCCTCCAGGCTGACACACTCTCTCAGGGGCTGACATTAACATCTCCCTCCAGGGCTGACACTGTTAACACCCCCTCCAGGCTGACATTGTTAACACCCCCCTCCAGGGCTGACACTGTTAACACCCCCCTCCAGGGCTGACACTCTTCTTTCTTCTTTACAGAATTCGAGGACCAGCTGAGGAAGAGCCTCCTCCTCCTCCTCCACTACATCTTCCTTGTTCCTCCTACTCCTCCTATCTTTTCTGTAACTCCTTCTTCGCGGAATTCGAGAGGCAAAAGGATAAAAACACCCTCCAATTCTTCCCTCCTCCTCTTCCCCTTCTTCTTCCTCCTCCTCCTCCTACTGATGATGAGGGAGGTGATGGGCGGGGAGGTGGTGGAGGAGGAGCCGGCCGCCCACCCTCACACCTCCGTCGCCAGTGATGGTCTCTCCCTGGCTGTTCCGACACCCGCCCCCACGCCCACACATCCGCCTACAGACGCCCCCGTAGCTGCCATCAGGAGGTACCTCGACTCCATGCCCCAGCACCCGTCTCCACGCAAGGAGGTGAGATGGAGGGAGGGAGGAGAATGGTATGAAAGGAAGGAAAGAGGTAGGGAATGTAGGAGAGAAGGAAGGAGGAAGGGAGAGGATAAGATTAGTAGAGAGTTTTGAGCGGGCTTGTAGGATGAGAGGGAATGGAGGGTGAATGGTAGACTGGGTTTGTGTATTAGGGTGAAAGTCTATGAGAGAAAGCAGTCATCATGGAGGGTTGAGAGGGTGTTAATTAACCAGGTTCGTTCGTCTCCCAGGTAGCGAGTAGCGCTGTGTGGAGGTGTGTGCGAGGAGAGGTCATAGCCACGTTCCTCATGACCATCGTCACTACTAGCACCGTCCTCCAGCCCCCTCGGCCCTCAATTATGGCCCCTTGTGCCCAGCCAGGTACTGTGTCCAATCCTCCATCCCAGCCCCATGTGGCCAGTCTACCATCCTAGCATTCTAATATTCACTTATTCCAAAATTAGTGTTCGAGCGTTCAGTTTTGCGTTCAGTTTCTTAGATGTTCAAAGTTCAGATGTGGAGTGTTCAGATGTTCAGGGATGGAGTGTGAGGGTGGTGAACACTTAAGGGAGAAATTCTTACTTAAAGGTGAGTTATTTAAGTGAATTCAACCAGAACCTTTGTGCCAACGTGCTAAGTGCTGCCTTAGTGTTCCACCCACTCTCCCAGGCACCACCACTCTCCCAGGCACCACCCACTCTCCCAGGCACCACCCACTCTCCCAGGCATCACCCACTCTCCCAGGCATCACCCACTCTCCCAGGCATCACCCACTCTCCCAGGCACCCCACCCACCTCCCAGGCACCACCCACTCTCCCAGGCATCACCCACTCTCCCAGGCACCCCACTCTCCCAGGCATCACACCACCACCCACTCTCCCAGGCACCACCCACTCTCCCAGGCACCACCCACTCTCCCAGGCATCACCCACTCTCCCAGGCACCACCCACTCTCCCAGGCATCACCCACCTCCCCAGGCACTCTCCAGGCACCACCACCTCCCAGGCACCACCCACCCTCCCAGGCACCACCCACTCTCCCAGGCACCACCCACTCTCCCAGGCACCACCCTCTCCCAGGCACACCCACTTCAGGCACCTCTCCCACCACCCACTCTCCCCAGGCACCACCCCAGGCTCCCAGCACCACCCACTCTCCCAGGCACCTCCAGGCACCACCCACCTCTCCCAGGCACCCACCTCCCCAGGCATCCACTCTCCCAGGCACCACCCACCTCCCAGGCACCACCCCACCTCCCAGGCACCACCCACTTCTCCCCAGGCACCACCCACTCCCCAGGCATCACCCACTCTCCCAGGCACCACCCACCTCCCAGGCACCACCCACTCTCCCAGGCACCACCCTCCTCCCTCCCAGGCACCACCCACTCTCCCAGGCACCACCCACCTCCCAGGCACCACCCACCTCCCCAGGCACCACCCACCTCCCCAGGCAGCACCACCCACCTCCCAGGCACCCACCTCCCCACTCTCCCACCTCCCAGGCACCACCCACCTCCCAGGCACCACCCACTCTCCCCAGGCACCACCCACCTCCCAGGCACCACCCACCTCCCAGGCACCACCCACCCACTCCCAGGCACCACCCACTCTCCCAGGGCACCACCCACCTCCCAGGCACCACCCCTCTCTCCCAGGCACCACCCACCTCCCAGGCAGGCACCACCCACTCTCCCAGGCACCACCCACTCTCCCAGGCACCACCCACTCTCCCAGGCACCACCCACTCTCCCAGGCACCACTCCACTCTCCCAGGCACCACCCACTCTCCCAGGCACCACCCACCTCCCCCAGGCAGCACCACCACTCTCCCCAGGCACCACCCACCTCCCAGGCACCACCCACTCTCCCAGGCACCACCCACTCTCCCAGGCACCACCCACCTCCCGGTGGCACCACCCACTCTCCCAGGCACCACCCACTCTCCCCAGGCACCACCACTCTCCCCCAGGCACCACCACCTCCCAGGCACCAGGCACCACCCACTCTCCCCAGGCACCACCCACTTCTCCCCCAGGCACCACCCACTTCTCTCAGGCACCACCCACTTCTCTCAGGCACCACCCACTCTCCCAGGCACTACCCACTCTCCCCAGGCACTACCTACTTCTCTCAGGCACCACCCACACCTCCCCTCCCAGGCACCACCCACCTCCCAGGCACCACCCTCTCTCCAGGCACCACCCACCTCCCAGGCACCACCCCACCTCCCCAGGCACCACCCACCTCCCAGGCATCCCACCCACCACCCAGGCACCACCCACCTCCCAGGCACCACCCACCTCCCAGGCACCACCCACTCTCCCAGGCACCACCCACTCTCCCCAGGCACCACCACCCCTCCCCAGGCACCACCCACTCTCCCAGGCACCACCCACTCTCCCCAGGCACCACCCACTTCTCCCCAGGCACCACCCACTTCTCAGGTACTCTCCCAGGCATCACCCACTCTCCCCAGGCACTACCTACTCTCCCCAGGCACTACCCACTTTCCCAGGTCTCCCAGGCACCACCCACCTCCCAGGCACCACCCACCTCCCCAGGCACCACCCACCTCCCAGCAAGGTAACACCACCCACTCACCCACCTCCCCAGGCACCACACCCACCTCCCCAGGCACCCACCTCCCCAGGCACCACCCACCTCCTCCCCAGGCACCACCCACCTCCCAGGCACCACACCCACTCTCCCCAGGCACCACCCACCTCCCAGGCACCACCACCTCTCCCAGGCACACCACCCACCCCTCCCAGGCACCACCCACTCTCCCAGGCACCACCCACTTCTCCCAGGCATCTCCCAGGCACCACCCACTCTCCCAGGCACCACCCACTTCCCAGGCACTCACCCACTCTCCCAGGCACCACCCCACCTCCCAGGCACCCCCAGGCACCACCCACCTCCCAGGCACCACCCACCTCCAGGCACCACCCACCTCCCCAGGCACCACCCACTCGCAGGCACCACCACTCTCCCAGGCACCACCCACACTCTCCCAGGCACCACCACCCTCCCAGGCACCACCCACTCCCCCTCTCCCAGGCACCACCCCTTTCTCTCCCAGGCACCACCCACTCTCCCAGGCACCACCCACTCTCCCAGGCACCACCCACTCTCCCAGGCACCACCCACTCTCCCAGGCACCACCCTCTCTCCCACATATTATAACCCAAAGTGCAAATGTGAAAACTTATCAAGGTGATTCATTTAAGTTACGACACCAAGATGTATTTCCTGAACCCTTTAACCCTTTAAGTCGACTTTCTAAGTTTTGAAGTTTAAGATTGGTTGAGTGATTAGATGAGATGAAGTTAAATTAGATTAGTTTAAGTTAGGATGGTTTAGATTAGATCGTTTGGTTAGATTAAGTTAAATAGGAGAACTGAAGTCAAATTAGGGTAAGTTTGGTTAGATTAGGTGAAGTTAGGGTGTTTTCTTTACGTTTTGTTATGTTTTTTAGGTGTAACTTAGGCTAAGTTAATTCAGGCTAAGTTATATCCCTCATTAGAGACGTCAATGTACCTAATCGTAACTTCTCTCTCTGGGTGTGGCGGTGGGTGTAGTGGGCGGGTTGGTGGACGGGGTGTCGGACACTGGGTGGGGTTCGGCTGTGAGGTGGGCGGTGGGTCACGGCCTAGTGATGGGCGCGCTCAGCTGGGCCGTCAGAGGCGCTCACTTATCTCCACCCACCACCATCGCTCTACTAGTAACTAGGAGGGTAAGTCAGCGAGAGAGAGAGTATGGCTACTTTCGAATCCATACGATACGTTTAACCTTTGAGTACGATACTTTTAAACTTTTGAGACGATAACGTAAATAATATTTTAACCTTTCAGTGGTTGCTGCTGTCTTCAGTAAACATAATTAAAACCTTCTAAATACGACATCTCATTATAAATCTTTACAGGTGTCACTGCTTCGAGCTTGTTTACACATGTTAGCCCAAGTGTGTGGGGCGTTACTGGCAGCACCTGTTCTCCTGGGTCTTCTACCACGACCACCACGACCACCACAGCTGGCACCACACCTCACAGCCGTCCAGGTACGGTACCACTAAACAGGGACACATTGTACGACACTTGTTCCCAGTATAACTAAACAGGTACACATTATACGACACCTGTTCCTTTGAGTGTCAGCCTCTTGTTTTCTTTGCATTATTGCGATATTTTCTTTGCATTAATCTACTATTAATTCCTTCTAATAATAACAATGTTTCTTCGCAGTATTATGTCAAGTGATAATTTATGTGTAAATCTATGTTTTCCTGTTTATTATTTACCCTTTTTTATACACACTTCCCTTATTTCACGTTTTGTGTCGTGTCGTCAGGGTTGGGGAGCTGAATTTCTGGCGACTTTGGTAGTGACTCTCATCTCTCTCTCTGCATACGAGGCCACCCACGCCCCCTCCCGCTACACCAAGGACGCCCACTCCCACCACACCACGCCTATGTTCTCCTCCAACGCTGCCGTCCCCGTTATCGCCGCCCACATCGCTGCCGCCCTCTTCAGTGTGGGTGGTGTTGAAGTTTTGTTTAGGGTGGGGTAGGGTGGGGTAGGGTGGGTGTGTGCTTAGGGTGTACTCAAGGTGTTGAAAGCTTAGTATATGGATTGCTAACCGAGTGATCACCTGAGGATTAGACACCCCGGCAGCTTGTTCACCTGATGATTAATCATTCTAATGATATCTGTAAGAATTAGGTTATGTTAGGTTAAATTAGTTTAGGTAAGCTAAGGTTAGATTAGGTAAGGCTAGGTTAGGTGAAATAAGCTGTGGTGATTAATCTTCAGGTCAATATGTGACTGGTGATTATTTGTGTTGTTAACAGTAGTGTACCCACAGGCCGAGTTCACCGGGATTGGCCTCAATCCTGCCCGCTCATTGGCTGTTGCCGCGGTCACTGGAGCTTGGACCTCCCACTGGGTATGTAAACAACCTTTTTTGTGTATTATTTGGAGTGTTTGTTTGTCTGTTTATATATTGACATGATGACAGATGGAGAGGTAGAAATATACTCTCTCTCTCTCTCTCTCTCTCTCTCTCTCTCTCTCTCTCTCTCTCTAACACAGTCTTATGTACCGCGTTAATTACAGGTGTTCTGGGTGGGTCCCGTGTTAGGAGGTCTGCTGGCCGCCTTCACCTACGAGTACACGGCCACCAAGGACCCCGATGCCCCCCCGCCCCTGCCCCCCATGCTGCCCAGAGACACTTCCAGGCCATCAGCCATCACCTCCACCCTGGCATCACCCTGTTAAGCTGTTTAGTTGACAACATTGCTTGCTGACTCAGTATAAATTTGTAATTCTCAGAGGTCCTTCATCATCACTTGTCCCTCCTGAGTCACCTACACCCTCACCTACACCTGCTGAGTCACCTACACCTTCACCTACACCTGTTGAGTCACCTCACCTCACCACACCTGCTGAGTCACCTTCACCTACACCTACTGAGTCACCTACACCCTCACCTACACCTGTTGACCTACCCTGTTGAGTCACCTACACCTGTTGAGTCACCTACACACCTCACCTACACCTCACCTACACCTGCTGGAGTCCCTACACCTCAGCACCTGCTGAGTCACCTACACCTCACCTACACCTGATGAGTCACCTACACCCTCACCTACACCTGAGTCACCTTACACCTGTTGAGTCACCTACACCCTCACCTACACCTGCTGACTGCCCTCACCACCTGCTGAGTTACCTCACCTACACCTGTTGAGTCACCTACACACCTGTTGCTGACACCCACACACCTGCTGGAGTCACCTACACCTCACCTACACCTGTTGAGTCACCTACCCTCACCTACACCTGCTGAGTCACCTACACCCTCACTTACACCTGCTGAGTTACTGACACCTCAGCTGAGTCACCCTCACCTACACCTGTTGAGTCACCTACACCCTCACCTACACCTGTTGAGTCACTACACCTCACCTACACCTGCAACACCCTCACCTACACCTGCTGAGTCACTACACCTACACACTACACCCTACACCTGCTGACACCTCACTTACACCTGCTCACCTTCACCTACCTGCCCTCACCTCACCTGCACCTGCTGACACCCTCACCTACACCTGCTGGTCACCTACACCCTCACCTACACATGCTGAGTTACTGACACCCTCACCTACACCTGCTGAGTCACCCACCTACACCTGCTGAGTCACTCACCTCACCTACACCTGCTGACTGTCACCTACACCCACCTACACCCTCACCTACACCTGCTGACTACACACCTACACCTACACCTGCTGAGTTACTGACACCCTCACCTACACCTGCCACCTGCCACCACCTGCACTCACCCTCACACCTGCTGAGTCACCTACACCCTCACCTACACCTGCTGAGTCACCTACACCCTCTTGTTGCCCAATAAACACCCAGTTTTACTCTCCAAGTTTCCACTCTTCATACCCGAAGTCTTCCCACATACTCCAGTTACCTTAAGACGGTTTACCCTTAAGACGGTTTACCCTTAAGATGGTTTACCCTTAAGACGGTTTACCCTTAAGATGGTTTACCCTTAAGACGGTTTACCCTTAAGACGGTTTACCCTTAAGACGGTTTACCCTTAAGATGGTTTACCCTTAAGACGGTTTACCCTTAAGACGGTTTACCCTTAAGACGGTTAGGATAGGATAAGTTGTGGCGTCCTCAGCAACCGTTACATTCTCCCCACTAATTGATTCTTTGCTGGTCAGGTCAGGTTAGGTTAGGTCAGGTCAGGTCAGGTTAGGTTAGGTCAGGTCAGGTTAGGTTAGGTGAGTCAAATCTCCACTTTTCATTGATATTTTTATTTTATTTCCAATCTTTAGTTATCATATAATCGTTGTTTTTTTAAGTGAGTAATTAAAATCGATTTTGTTAATGAAATAACAACAAAGTTAGTCAGTGAATTTGGCTTTATGGTGATAGATTGGCTTAATGGATAACCAAACCTAACGTAACCTAACGAAACCTAAACCTAACCTAAACCTAACGTAACCTAACGTAACCTAACGAAACCTAAACCTAACGTAACCTAACGAAACCTAAACCTAACGTAACCTAACGTAACCTAAACCTAACGAAACCTAAACCTAACGTAACCTAACGTACCCTAACCTAAACCTAACCTAACCATCAATCCATCAGTTACTGTGGATGGGTACAGTTGCGAGTGATGTCCCAAGCTTGGAGGAGGAGGAGGAGAGGTGAGGTCAGTGAACAGATCAATAGCTGACCGGAACAAAATGTCCTGTTTGATACATTGTAATTCTAGTGTTCACTGTTCAGCAATTTATATTTTGTAGATGATGGGCAGCTGAAGTCTATACTGTAGTACAGATTCTCTACGTCAACTTTGAACTTTCTTTAGATATATATACTAAGAGTTGACATAAAATTATAAATATCCGAAAAAACATCCCAAGATTATTTTTTAGATGAATATACAGAAAGATTATCCATGAAATAGCCGTACAAGTAAATATTTAGCCACGTAAAGTACAAGTACACAGGTACCTTACATATACAGGTACTGTACATGTAGCCTACATGTAAAGAAGGTACATATATAAGTACAGGTTTATATACAGGTACAGGTATTTTGGGCAATATATTGAACCTTTAAAACCCCAAGTACACAGACGTAACTACTAACTTATTAAGTGAACGTTGTAAAAATAATGCCTGAGTGTATTCCAGCCCAGGTACAAAGAGGCGACACACCTGACTTCCACACCTACTAGCATGCCTTCCTTTTTTCCTTCCGTCCTTCCTTCCTTCCTTCCTTCCTTCCTTCCTTCCTTCCTTCCTTCCTACCTTCCTCATTACCTCACTCTCTATGTCTCAGAATAGTTGTGTTGTTATCTGTGAAATATTATGTACCTTATGTAAACACCTGAGTAACAACACCCACTGGTTCTCGTAAACAAAGACAGAAACAAGAAATTGTGATTAACTTCTTTAAGATTTAGTATACCACTTAACACACACACACACACACACACACACACACACACACACACACACACACACGGTCACCATATAAAGTATTATAAGTGTTTATTATATGAAGAAAAATGTATTATAAAGTGTTCGTCTTTGTGGCGGGAAAGGAGGGAGGGAGGGAGGGTGAGGAGGTAGATAGAGAGAGAGGGAAGAGGGAGGGTGAAGGAGAGGCAGAGGAGAAAAGGAAGGAGAGAGGGACGTACTGTAGGGAGAGAGAGAGAGAAACAAAAAGGAGGGAGGGAGGGAGGGAGGTGGGAGACAGGAGGAGGAAGATGGGAGGTAAGCATCACTTGTGATGCTCTTGGTCAATAGTGACGTCATCTTTGAAGGAGGGTGACAGTGCCAGTGCTGAGAGCTAAGTGCCATGTAAGTGGACCAATTAAAATTTACTTTTTCAATTAATTTATATTTTCATGACTTAAGTCGGGTTAGTCAGACGAGACAAGTGGCGCTACTGTACAGGTGAGCTGGAGTGTTGTATTGTGCTGTACTGAAGACAAATAAAATGGATCATTTGAAGATTAGGCCCTCTTCCTTATTTCACCTGAGGATTAAGCACCCTAACGCTACTTGGGGGGGGGGTAGGTTAGATTAAGTTAGATGGGGTTAAGTTAGATTATATGTTGTTATTTTGTTATGCCACATGTTATGGTATGTTATGTTATGTTGGGTTAGGATAGGTTATGTTATATTAGGTTAGCGTTAGGTTAGGCTACTTTAGGTTAGGTTGGGTTAGGAGGGTTAATCTTAAGGTCAAATAAACTGGGTTAAGTAAAGTTCAGATAGGCTTATAACACAGATTCATGACAACACAGGTATGGTCCTTGACAGCACAGGTATGGTCCATGGCCCCTCACACCCCAAGGGCCCATCCACACATCAAGGGCCCCCTCATACTCCAGAGGGCCTTTTTAACCCCAGGGGGCCCGTCACAACCCAGGGTCTCCCTCAAACCCCGTGGGGCCCTTCACACCCTAGGGGCTCCTCACACCCCAAAGGTCCCCCACACCCTAGGGGTCCTTCACACCCAGGAGCTCCTCACACCCAAGGGGCCATCATACCCAAGTGGCCCCTCACACCCCAAGTGGCCCGCACACTACAGTGCCCTTCACACTCCAGGGGCCCTTCACACCCCAGAGGACCCCCCACACTCCAGGAGGCCCTCCACACCCCGCGGGGCCCTCAACACCCCGTGGGGCCCTTCTCACCCTAGGGGGCCCTCAACACCACAGGGAGCCCTCACACCTATCGTCCGTGATGTGTTACAGCCACTAAAGTTGTGGGTCATTATATACTAAATTAAATAAATAAAAACCAGAAACATTGTAACTGTTTCTTTTGATCAACCTGATGATGACTCGACAGTCCCGCTGTAAGAGGCGCCATATACCTTATACTGGGTGTTAGAAAGGTCCCTGTGCACCCGTGATAATTATAAATATAGTTATTTAACTTATTCTACTTACAGGAAATATTGAAAAAGGATGTCAGTAATTGTTAGGAGTGAATAGCATTCAAATCAGTTGATGACGGACACAACTAATAACGGGCATTTGGAACTTGAATATGGAGACAGTCAGACAGATTAAAACACCTAAATCTGCTCTCCCTCGAGAGACGTGGAGTGAGGGGCGATATGATTGAGGTGATATAATTATGGTATTTAAACTAACCAGAAGCAAACACGTAGCAATGGTTTTAAATTAAAAAATTTTTGACATGGGCGTGGGTTATGTAAACATTGATTTATAACTATAGTGGGTGAGTGGAACAAGTTACCGAACACCATCACTAACTCGAACACGCTGCAAAGCTTCAAATAAAGGTTGGGGAGATATACGAGTGATTTGGGTCGAGTGTAAACAGGGCTACCAAGTATGGACCGCTGCAGTTTCCTCCATTATTTTGTCTTTAATAGTGCGTAACAGAGTCTGACAGGCTGACCAGTGGCGAAGACGATAAAGTAATATGCATTTCGTTAACTGTAATAAGTGTATTGTTTATCCGTCAGTGTTTATGATGGCAAGAGTTACCCCATAAATGTTAGAGAAAATTTAACTTAAGAAAACGTAAACTTTTTGTGTATAACTACATTAATTAATATTTCTACTTTTCTTCACTAGTTTGCACACAACACTCACATTATATAACAAACTATGCAAGAAAATATTCAAATTTTATACAAGAAAGATTTATTACAGATCATGCACAGAAATTACGTGAATTACGCTGATTGGCAGAGGGTGAATGGGTGATCAGGTGATTAAGAGGTCAAAAATAAATTTAAAAACTTAAAAAAAATAACTAAAATTACATATTTCCGACGAAAACGCTATAATGAAGCGTTACGCATTCTTATTTTTGTTGATGCTCTATCTCCCTTTATTACAATTAATAAAGA